AAGCCCATACATCATTCAAATTTCTTTTGTATTTACCTAATGTCCTCTTTCTGTTCTAGGATCCTATCCAGCACACCATGTTCTATTTAGTCATCATGTCTCATTAGGCTCCTCTTGGCTGTGATCATTTTTCAGACTTTTCTTGGTTTTGATGACTTTGACAGCTTTGAAGAGCACTAGTTAGATATTTTGTAGAGTGTCCCTCTATTGGAGATTGTCTGATGATTTTCTCATGGTTAGATTGAGATTATGTGTTTTGGGAAGAAAGACCACAGAGATAAAGTGTCATTTTTATCACCTCATATCAAATACACTGTTCACGTAATTTATAACTGTTGATGTTGAACTTGAACATCTGGCCGAGGTGTAGTGTTTCTCAGCCTTCTTCATTGTAAAGTAACTTCTCTCCCCTTTCCTCCTTCTTTTGCTGTACTCTTTGGAAAGAAGTCAGTATGGGTAGCTGACTTCTTGAGGGTGAAGTATCTACATAAATTATTTGGAATTCTTCTGCCCAGATTTGTCTCTTCATTTGTTAGCTATTCAATCAAATTTTTATCAGTATGAACTTAGTTATTTTATGCTTTGTGTTATAATCAGATACTACTTTATTTTGTTGTCCAATGGTTGCAGCTTTGGCCACTGGAGCTCTTTTAGTTAGCTCCTGCATCCCTTCAACAGACTCTCATGGTGATTTTTGGTTTTCTTTTTAAAAAATCCCTTCAGTTTCTAGCACTACAAGATGCTTTAGGCTTACCTTGTATTTTTCCTAAAAGCAGTCATTTCTCCAAGGTGTCAGGCTAATTTTGACACACGATTTTATGTCTTAAGTAAAAAAGCCTTAGCTAACTACAGGTTCAAAGTCAGTTAGAAAACATTTGCTAACGTGCACTCACACAACCATTACCACACCTAAACTCCGTGGCAGGATGGAAAAGACAGGTACCTACACTCCAGCCACACACTATTGGCATTCCTGCTTGGTTTTAAGTTTCAGGCAGCCTGTTATCTTCATTCCTCCTTAAATATTGTTATGAGTGACATAACAGACAGGCTAATTGCAGATGAGAGAAAAACAAACCCAAACATTTTCACTCCAAATGATCAGTACTATGGTGTAAGAAGAGACTCTGATGATATATACATTGCTTTTCAAGCCAGTGTTGTATGCACACCTCAGGGTACACAGCAGCAAGTCAAGGAAGGGGCAAAGTCAAAGTTAGTATCTTACTGTATCATCCAACGTCTTTATAATTAGGATTATTTAATGATAACCAGTTGTTGTTAAAGCTAAAGGGGAAAAATTCTATTTTCAAATTGAAACCAAGTTTGACATATTAAAAAATTTTAATTTCTGTGAAAATAAACACGAATAATTTTGTATTGATAGAGCTAGCTACATGTTCATATTTGAAGGGTCCTTTATTATTATTGGTGATTTAATACAAAGTTTTAGAAATGCTGATAAGGAGTAATAGTAAATTAGCACTAATTGGTTAATAGTTCTTTAGCTAACAATTAAAAATGGCTTTTATTTTGTTCTGGAAAGCCAATCATTTAAGAGTATAATTGGCTCCTAAGGGAAATGCATAGCTCCTCTTCATTCTCCCTCACTTCCTCCCAGACGAGGAGCGCTATTCTAGTTAGGACAGGCTCAAGAATCCAGAGTTGTATTCTTTCTTGGGGATTTGATCACTTCAGATTTCTCTTGAATTTCCAGGCCAGTCTGGAGTGTAGGGAAGTTGTCCAGTCTTAGGCAAGTCTGACCATCTCATCTGGGGCCCTCATTTTTCTGGACACATCAAAAGGACCTGGACTCTTTTCAGAGTCCCTCTGCCCCAAGAAGACATGAAGTGGGCAATCTGGACCAGCGCTGTTTTAAGTATTAGAAAATATATTATCCCACTTCTTTTTATATGCGGGCTTTCTCTTTCTGGAATTTGCCTTTCCCTTGAAATAAAATGTAGAGGGTCAAGCTGTCAATGTGGGTTTAGGAAAAAACAAGCAACCTCTTGGCTTCTTTCCGGCCTTGGTCCATGTGAACAGCTGTAACAGAATACCAGAGACTGGGTAGTTTATAAACAACACAGATTTGTCTCTTACAGTTCTGTAGTTCAAGATCAAGGCTCCAGCAGATTTGGAGTCCGGTAAGCCCTGGCTTCCTAGTTCATAGAGTGCTGTCCTTTCACTGTGTTTCCACATGGCAGAAGGAATCTATGGGGTCTCTTTTATAAGGGTACTAATCCCTTTCATTGGCGTTCCACCTTCAGGACCTAGGCACCTCTCGAAGGCCCCATCTCTAAACACTATCACATTGGAAATTAGGTTTTAACATACAGATTTTGAGGGGGACACAAACATTTATTCTAAAGCATTGTCTTTTTAGACCTGACTCTACTTATACTCAAAGGAGGTCCTTCATATGGTTTAATTCAATTCTAAAGAGATTAGTTTGGATATTGAGAAAAAAGCCTCTAAAAAGTAGGTCTTTACTCAGCCATGAAATCAGGAATTTAATTTGGGGGCAGGAGCAGGGAGAGGGATGTGTTGACGAGGCTCAAGAATTTGGACTTGGGGTCCATTTTCTATGCCAAATGAATGCCAACCTAGATACAAATTCTTATACTAGCTAAGGGTTGGTATTCTGTGTAGCAAGGGTGGTATTTAATCACATTATAAATTGTCAGAAAAAATATATTGTTCCAATAATTTACACTTTAGAAACCTCTAGCTTTTCTTCTTCTTCTTTTTTTTTTTTTCCTTTTTGAGATAGAGTTTTGCTCTTTGTCGCCCAGGCTGGAGTGCAAATGGCACGAACTTGGCTCACTGCAACCTCCGCCTCCCAGGTTCAAGTGACTCCTGCCTTAGCTTCCTGAGTAGCTGGGATTATAGGTACTCACCACCACACCCAGCTATTTTTTCATACTTTCAGTAGATACAGGGCTTCACTATGTTGGCCATGGTGGTCTCAAACTCCTGACCGCAGGCGATCACCTCAGTCTCCCAAAGTGCTGGGATTACAGGTGTGAGCCAACACACCTGGCTTAGCTTTTCCTTTCCAAATGAAAAACCAGTGACTAAACAACTTTTGGAAGAATCTATCCATACAAGGATTTGAAAATAACTAGATAAATAAAGTGTGTGAAATTCATGTATATCAAGGTAAACATATCTTTATCAGATATTCTCTTTTTTTGTTTTTTAAGACGGAATTTCGCTCTTGTTACCCAGGTTGGAGTGCAATGGCGCGATCTCAGCTCACCCCAACCTCCACTTCCTGGGTTCAGGCAATTCTCCTGCCTCAGCCTCCTGAGTAGCTGGGATTACAGGCATGCGCCACCATGCCCAGCTTTTTTTTTTTTTTTTTTTTGTATTTTTAGTAGAGAGGGGGTTTCACCATGTTGACCAGGAAGGTCTCGATCTCTTGACCTCATGATCCACCTGCCTCGGCCTCCCAAAGTGCTGGGATTACAGGCGTGAGCCACCGTCATTTTTTTATTCTTATAATTCCAAAGTTTACTTTGGTTGACAAATGAGCTATCTATTTAGAAGGGAAAAAAACTCATTAATGGGTAAACATTTTTGAGCAAGGAAAGGAGGAGAAAGGTATGAAGAGACTTCAACTTCATACTTAACTTCAAGCTTAAAACAATGTTTTTAAGTATGAAATAAAGAACAATGGTTTAAGTATGAAATAAAGAACAGTATGAAAGACTTCCTGGCACGATGGATAATGGGAATTATTCATTATTATTTACTACTAAACACTCACTAATTAAATGGGGTTCAGGTTTACATTAAAAGAAATCATGAAGGCAGATATATTTATCATTCTAAAAACACACTAAGGTCAAAGGGTATAGAGGGATATCAAGACACAAAAACCAGGAAGTCAGTGCTGTGAATCAGTATCTTGCTCTTCCCCAGTCAGTGATAGCAGATGAATCTTCTGCTTTAAATGCTCTCATGTGATATATGAAGTGCATTTCTAGTCTAAAATGTGGAATAAAAAGTTTAATGACACATCTATTCCATAAAATCTTGACAGGGCTCCTCTTAACTCATATGAATTAATACAGGTTGGTTTTCACGAGTTAATTCATATGACTTAACATGAGTTGGTAAATATAGATCATTTTAAGAGCAACCCTTAGTGACTGACTGCCCTCACAGTGTGTGTGTGTGTGTGTGTGTTTATATATGCCTTTCTCCCTTCCCCATCTCTTTTTATTAACTACCATGTTTTAGAAACATTTTACTTAACTGGTCGATTTACACCACTAGTCAACCAGATATAAAAGATAATGTTATCCATTAAAACAAGTGTTCCAGGTGAGCTGCAAGGCAAATCAATCTGTAGATATATTTGGTTTGATTCACCCAGTACTAAAAATATCTGGAAATATCACACAAAAATTTGAGTTTCTGGGTTTCCCTTGATATACCAGATCTTTTAACACTAGACTGGAATTTCATGTGGCTGCTGCTGGAGCAAAATATTAGAATGCCCCTTTAGGTAAGCCCTACCACTCTGTGTTGCTTCCACTTAGACAATTTCACTTGTTAAATACCTGCCTTGTCCCTGCAGGCGTACAAACATGTGACCTAGATTAAATTGATGTGTGTGTTAGTAGTGGTGGTGGTAGTGGTGTGCATATGTATTTATGAATTAAACGTTCAATTAAGATGGCTTAACAAATAGTTTCTTAAGAAATTATGTGAGTTTCTTAAGAAATTATGATTTGTGTTATAATTCATTCCTTTAACATTAACTGCCCATCAAATAGTAAAATATTCTTGTAGGGATAAACAAAATAGATTCCAAACAAAATACACAAATATTTTATTAATAAATAAAAATAAACAAAATGTTATAGAAACTATGAAAATGGAACATCCCATATTTCTAGAGCTGCATACTAATGCCTGAAATCTTTATTTCTACTTTTATTCTCCTCCCTTCTGAGTTTTCTCTCCCCAAAAGTATTACAGGAAAGTCATAATCAATTTTCTTAAAGAAGATTTATTTTGGATTAAGTGATTTCATGATGCAACATGGTTTTAAACAAAAATAGAGATCAGTATGAAAATAAAACAAATTGTACACATTAAAATATCTTTCCCTCAAAGCATTTCAGAATCATAAAAAATACAACAAAAGAGTCAGGGGTTCAGTTGAGAATAAGAACACAGACTTCCCAGAAAATAAACAACTAGTCCCAGTTCAGAGTCCTAGGCCCCATATAATACCACTCAGAAACCATTTCTAGGATGTCAACAGTCTGCATTATTTACTTTGAAAAAAAAATTACGCATAAAGTGAATTGAGAGCCATATAACCTTAATGCTAATAGCAAGTCTCTCCCATTATTATTCTCCATTGAAAGTCACATTAAATAAATACGAAGCTTAAATCAATGCAAAAATTGAAATACCACCATTAACTGTGACACACCAAATAGTGAACATAATGACTGAGGTTGGTGAAGAGAAATGAAAAGCTTAAAAAAATACACCACCTGTGTTCTACTGAAATCTTAGAAATAATTTTTTTTACAGAGCCTTAATATTAAAAAGTAATAATTATTATAAAATTAGGTTAATACTTTCAGTAAGAGGCGAGAGAGATGCATGTATTTTTATTCATTTATTTTGGAATCCCTGCATCCCTATTATAAAAATGTGTAATTTTAAGCACTTTCCAACATATTAATAGCCCCAAACTTTACTTATGCTATCATATACAGAAAAATAGGTTGTAATTATATCTTTTAGAGCATTAGGGTCCTAAAAGAACATCCCATTCTATGTTCATTCCTGTTCAATCCTTCCAAAGTATTTCCGGAACATCAGCCATTCTTTCTTACAGAAGGTGATAGTAACCAGAAGTTTGCCGATGGTTCCATACCTGCATCAGTAATAGCTGATTCAGTCTGAATCACAAAACACAGCTATCCACACTCCTCAGCTTGTAATATCTTAAAAGTCAGATAGAAAGGTATCGCCTGCCGAAGGGCACTAAACATAAAAATCACATACATACATTTAATTCTCCTGTGTTCCCCAGAAACCATACAACCAGGACCAGGGCCATCTTATTTTGCTGAGCTGTTCAATTATGAAAGCCAAATAAATGACTTTGCAGATAAAATCTAAGCAAATGTATTTTTGGTCTTGATTAATTTCCTGAATTGGAAACACTGATTCAGTCTGCATTTGCAACCTCACTCTTAGGATTTTGCTTTCCAGATTAACAAAAATCATGAAAATGTCTCAAACGCTATTCTAATGTCAAGGAATGTCTGCTAAAATACAAATTAAGTTTAATGAAATAAAAGCACCCTTTCTTTTATTTCATACATGTTCAATAATAATAACACTAATTCTTAAATGAAAAAAGTCCACAACATAATTTCAGGCTTAATTGTTGAGTCTCCTGATTATGGTATGGCTAGCTTTAATACTTTGGGACTGAATTCCATTTTGCAATACAGAAAATGTTAAATTACTGAAGTTATAAAATGAGGGTATTTATCAAATAGATCAAGCTGTGCCTTCATTAGGCAGCATAGCTTTCTTCTTCTCGGTCAGAAACCAAATCGAAGTATGTTCCCACCCTGCACCAGCATGCCCTAAGATCACCATTGTTTTAACTTTCCCTCAGCTATACTGCTGTCCTAACCATCCTTTTGCTCCTTCTGGCCCAGATGGCTATGATAAGGCCAGCACACACATTCTCATCCTTCGTGCCAGCTCCTTGGAATGCCATTACCACTCTGAATCTTGACAGTTGGTCAATAATTAGCATTACATTCTTGAGGGAGGCACAACTGCTGGGCTCCTCTTTTCTCTTTTTCATTTTCATCACCCTTTTAGTGGGCAGTAGCTGGCCTTGAGCCACAATTCAGAGAGCTTTAATGTCTTTCCTTTGTAACCATGCTAGACAAACAAATTAATTTGGAAAACACGAATGAACGGGAAAGAACTAAGTTTGGCAAAATTAGAATCTAAAAGTGACATTCTCATTAATTTAAACTTATGGCAGCAAGATGGAAATAAATGACTAAGGTCCAGAGTAGATAAGGTCCCTCATCTACTAAATCAGAAAGCAGATTAAAGAGAGCAAGCCCCACTGGCTCACATATGTAATCCCTCATGTCTGCACTTTGGGAGGCCACAGTGGGAGGATTGCTTGAGCTCAGGAGTTCGAGACCAGCCTGGGCAATGTGGCAAAATCCTGTCTCTATAAAAAATACAAAAAAATTGACTGGGGGGCATGGTGGTGCATGCCTGTAGTCCCAGCTACTCGGAGACCGAGGTGGGAGACTGGCTGGAGCCTGGGAGGTAAAGGTTGAAGTGAGCCAAGATCACACCGCTGCACTCCAGCATGGGTGACAGCCAAACCTATCACAAACGAACAAACAAAAAACAAAAGCAAACAAAAAAATGCCTCCCAGGCACTGTGGCTCACACCTACAATTATTCCTAGCACTTTGGGAGGCCAAGGCAGGTGGACACTTGAGTTCAGGAATTTGAAACCAGCCTGGGCAACATTCTAAGACCTTGTCTCTCTAAAAAATACAAAAATTAGCTGGGTGTGGTACTGTACACCTGTAGTCCCAGTTAATCAGGAGGCTGAGGTGGGAGGATCACTTGAGCCTGGGAGGTGGAGGTTGGGGTGACAGAGCCAGACTATCCAAAAAAAAAATGCAAAAGGTCCTCAAACTCTGACTCAGTTTGGAGATTAGACCACATTCTTCCTATGCATGCTTTTATTATGCAGGGTTACAGATATCTCTTAATAATGACATTGCATCATGTCACATAATTATGGAGTTTCCTGAATAAGGTAAAATTGAACAGACTCCCATATTCATTATAAGATATTTGTCTTGTTAGAGGTGGTCAAATCATAAATAAAATTTGTGTAGAAAGATGGAAAAAGTCATTAGATGAATGGGAGGAGGATGGGAGAAAATGAGAAGCTGCAGTGGTTCCTTCTTGGATATCACTGGAACTCAGCTATTAGGGCTTACTAATCCATCCCTATTAAAAATTAAAAAATAAAATAAAGCTTCTGGTTAGTGTTTTCCATTATCTTGTTTCCAAATAACCTTTGAGAAAATTAAATGACTATTCTGTAAAAATCCATCAAAAGCAATCAAATTTTGCTTTCTGTTTTTTAAATTTCTCATGACAAGTTATGAAGTGCAAATAGGTCTATGGGAAAATTTTTCCCATGAATGTACTAATTTCTTCATGGACTTTTCAGAAGGTGTCGCATTTTAAATGTGTCTGTTTAAGAAAGTGAGAGTTTGGAGGAAGCATCTTGGAAACCTCACTGAAAGTGGAATATATAGGTACAAATATTAGCCTCTGCATTTCTCAAGATGAAACACAGAATTGTGACTACGAAGTAATGAAACTGATGCCACAGGCCATCCATGAAAATCAGCCTCAACCCAGTTAACATGATACTTGTACCCTACAAAGTGTGTGAGGAGCAACATGGATGATGTACCTGAAAGCACTTTGAAACTATACAGCACGATGCAACCATATTCTACCATTACTGTCAGACACTTGAATGCATTTTTGCCATTTTTGATTGCTGTGCAGGTAAAACAGATTTTCCTTTTTAAATGCTAGAAAATTGTGACCATACTTCTTTTACCAAGATCCATTCATTTTGTGCACAAGAAAAATGTTTTGACCCCAGAAGTGGTTTGGGCTCAGGGATTAGGATTTTTCACATTGAAAACCAATGGTGCATTGTAAAATTGATGATGGAAAACAGGGAAATGACCCGACTTAATTTTGGCATTTCTTTGATCATTTGAAAATCCTTGAGTTGCTCCTTCACAGTTCAGCTCCCTATACACTTTATACTCTTGTTGTGTACTTGGCATCCTGGCTTCGACACTTGACCAGTATTGACACCATTACTTGCCATTAGTTCCCAGTAGAAACAGCATTGATGTCATTATTTTAGTCAGACTAACATCTATATATGAAGCCATTACTGAATCTCACAGATTGCTGTTCTTTTCTTCTCTCTCTTCATTCCTTGATTATAGAACTTACCAAATTTTATTTTAAATACTTTATTCAACCTTGGGGTCTACTCTACTAAACTGTATGCTGAGCTTTACATGGGCAGATTTACACTCTTGCAGCTCCATCGTCAAACAAACATCAAACTGGCACAGAGTGAATGCCAATGGTGTGCTTGTTCTCTCATCTATATGATGTATCAAGAGTGTCTTCTATAGTATAAAAGGCATCACTTAAGACCATAAAGCCTAGTTATCTGGGTTCACAGTCCAGAAGAAAATATTTATGGATATTTCTAATTGTAGAGTATAGGAAAGTCTAATTTATTCTGTGGAAATGTTATTTAATATTCTATATAGTTATTATTGGCTGTTTTGTTTTACTAAGAATAATCGATAAGTTAGCATGGTGTTCTGATATGCTAAGTACATCTTTGATAATTCCCAATCTGTAATAGTATCAACTAGGTGATTATACTAATTAAGAATGTCTTCACACATTAGAGTGAACTGTTATTTGGGAAAAAGTTGGATGCCTTAAAGAAATGTATTTGTTAGAAATAATTAAGGAGAGACATTTTATTTCAAATTTCTTTTACCTAATAATATGAAATAGCATAACTAAATGTCTCAAACCAAAATGAATGCTAACATGATCTTTGAATGTATTGAAGGTTGAAAAGATTCCACCTTTACCTGTTGCTTGGAGAATGCCAGCCCTGAAACATCTTATATACCATCAAATTTGTGACTTTAAATAAAGTGTGTTATATTGCTTTTCCTTATAATGAAAAGAATACAAACAAGTAAAAAGAGTTTGCAAAATTAAATATATACTTGTATTCATGATCAATAAGTACAAACTAACATTTCCAGTCAAAATTTTTTTTTCTCTTCCAATTATAGTATACAGATAGCTCATCCTTTCTTATTTCCAGATTTCTATAACCTTTTTTCAGAACATCTCCCCGCACTGCAGTACAAGCCTTTAGTGCGGGTAGTATAACATAAGCGGTATTCCTCTTGAGGGTCCCAATAATAAACATAGCTTAACTCACAGGAGAGCAACCAGTTCTTACAAAACACCTATGAAAACTATGCATATGACCTCTGTAAAGTGTAAGATTGCCAACATCCCATAAATAGGAATTCCATGGCTGCTTATAAATATAGATCTCAAAGAAATGTTTGGGCAATGTCTGTAAACCCATAGGCTGGCAAACCATGTTTTAATCCAATGCTTTTATTACCCCCAATTTTACTTCACTCTATTGAAAATCTGATTAGTCAAGAAATAAACAGATGTGGAGTAACCCCAAAAGCAATTAAAATGAAGGACACCTTCTCATAAAATTAGCAGAAGTAAGACTAGTGATGTCATGCAGTTTTGGAGATACCATAGAAAAATTGTTTCTTAATATTAATAAGAAAATTATACATCAGTGAAAATGCAGGCTTAGAAATATAGTTCTGAGTTTCAATTTGTGATGTCTTCACTGATGAGGGAAAATGGAATTCTTATTACTGATCTCTTCAGTGTTGCTGATGGCTCCTTAACTGAGCTTAGTGTTGAATGATGCTGTACAAATAAAAAGCAGTGGGGGAAATACGAAATATCTGTATTAAATGCCATCCTGTAAAGTATTTGATGGATGGAAGAGAGTCTAATGCATTTTAAATAAATGCATATCATACTATCACATAAAGTGAATCTTAAAAAAGTATTACTTAGATGCACAGTCCTTGTAGTGGTAGACACGGCACTGTGAAGGAAGTTTGATTTAGAAGCTATTTTCTATTACACTTCTCAAGTGATGGAGTTGCTGTTAGTCATATTATAATGTCCCTTCAACTTTGGTACATTCAGTGCAAAATATTTGGGGGATTTTTTTTTTACCTTTATAAAAATAAAAGGCCCTTTTGTTTCCTTGAGAGTGCTTAAAAGGATACATAGTAGCATGATGCCCGAGTATGCATGGAACATGAAAATGGAACGAGTGATGCATACAGTATGATAGGTAGGTTCTTATATACATCCTAAAGAACAGAAACAGAATGAACCTACAAAAAATAAACAGAACTCACTGTGTACTTTTTCCTGATATGCTGTGATTAACTGCTAGTTATTTTAAAATTGTTTTCATGCATTATAAAGCATAAAATCTGTCATTAGTAATTCATTGAATAATGGTTTGTCTTTAGCCATAATTACACACATACCACTTGCATATACATTGTCAGAGACCATCTTATTGCAAATCTGTAAAGTTACCTCATATTGACTTGGTTTCGTTTTCACTCATGTCCCATGAAAGCGGAAACCTATGGTGCACACCATGCAGGCACTCATATGCAAAAAATGAATATTCTGTTATAACTTAGGGCTTAAATGAATGTACTTTCAGGAAATATTTTACTTTTATTATATTATTTAACTTGCACTAATTTGGAGATTGGGCCAAGTGCTGCCAGTTTGGCTTGAACCACGTTTCAAAGTTTCTAGATTCTCCTGAGTCCCTAAAAATTACCATGGAGCTGATCATGTACGGGTTCACCTTTGTCTTGGAACATAACAAATGGAAAAAGTTTGGCAGGCAAGAACTGTTGATTGAAAGACGGTTGGGTTGTTCCCTGGGCATCAAGCTCACCCAAATCCTTCCAAGAGGACTCATCTCCAGTCCCCAAATGTGACAGAGCACTTGTTCCTGGAAAAAAAACAGCACGCAGCTTTATCCGAAAGAAAGCATCCTCTTGAAACTTCCAATGTTCAGTCATTCTTCTAGAAGGCAGCTTCTGAAACTGCCTATCCACAGAGATGGGAATTCTGCTTCCAGGTCACTCAAGTCCAAAAGTACTGGTCTCTTCAACTGCTGTCAACAGTTTTTCATAAAGCATGGAAAAGGATGGGTAGGGGGGCAGATCCAGACGGTTAAAACATGTATGTGCTCTGAAAACACAAGAAACAGCATGTAGTTTAGAACAGATGGAGTGAAATGAGAGAGAGAGAAAGAGAGAGAGAGAGAGTATGATTGTCTTTCCCATTCAAATTTATTTGTTGCCAATTTTTACACTCCTTTTGAAAAATCTTTGAAAACATTTTGACCTTAAGAATTAAGAACTGAATTTCTCTTAAAAAAAAGGTTATTTAAAAATATATCTTCTTTACATTTCAGCACCACTTAAAAGGTATATTACATATAAATGACCATTTATTGAGTGGTCTAAGGGTTACAAAGACAAGTTTGGTTTTTTGTTTCTCTTTTGATGCTAGACTTTTTTTTTTTAAAAAAATATATGTATATAAGGCCTTGCAAAGTAGTTCATTTTGAGTTGAAATATGCCTGGCTGGGTTGGGCATGGTGGCTCACGTCTATAATCCCAGCACTTTGGGAGGCTGAGGCAGGTGGATCATGAGGTCAGGAGATCAAGACCATCCTGGCCAACATGGTGAAACCCCATCTCTACTAAAGATATGAAAAAAAATTAGCTGGGTGTGGTGGTGCATGCCTGTAGTGGGACTCCAGCTACTCGAGAGGCAGAGGCAGGAGAATGGCTTGACCCCAGGAGGCAGAGATTGCAGTGAGCCGAGATCCCACCACTGCACTATAGCCTGGGTGACAGTGCTACATTCCATCTCAAAAAAAAAAAAAATATATGCCTGGCTGTCTCTTCAATACTCTTCAGTTCTGCATTTTTTCATTTTCTTGGACAGGGAAGAGCAGTCAGTGTCTCTGAGGGCTCACCTCATGGCTTAGAGTCTTGGGAAATTCCCTGGCTGGAATTTTAGTCAGTAGACCATTGTTACTTCTTTGAATCTTGTGCTAAAATTTGCTTTTTGCCAATTCACATTAACAAAACAAAAAGCAATTTAAATCATTACATTGAGCATTCTTTTTTAGAAATACCTCTTTTGCCAAGATAGGAAAAAAATATGTTTTCCTGTTATTTGCACCTGAATCACAATAAAAAATAGACAGTCTCCAAATAGGACATCTTATCAGGAAGCAAATCTGCACTTCTGACATGAAATAGGAAGCATTCTATTCTGAATGTACAACAGCTTGTTTGCAGGACCTACATAACTTTGACTATAAAAAATGCTCCTGAATTAATATACAATTTTAGGACCTATGATTATTAACAAGCTGTTTCTACAAAGTCATGTTTACATTTTAATTCTGATAAATCCCTTTTCCTTATGAAATAAATATAATTAATATTCCTGATTCAGTATAATGGGAGACCAGAGATTTGCAGTTAGACAGACTTGGATTTGAATTCTAACTCTACCAACAAGCGTGTGATTCGAAGTGAGTTATTAAAACTCTGAGCCTCTGTTTCTCACCTTTGAAAGGATGGTTATATAACTCGTCTCAGAAGGATGTGAGGATTAAGTGAAATAACAGAAAGGTGCTTAATAGAATGACTGGCTCATAGTGTTTGACCAATTAATAATGGATGTATTGTTAGCTACATTTCATTACTATCAACAATATTGACTCTAATTGCCTTCAGTAAATTGCCACAAATAGTAATGACCCATGACAACGATGAGATAATAAAGGGATAATAAAGTAGGTGTGTGGCCACATGGCTTTTTAGAAACAGGAATGTGAAGGGGATCTGCTATATTGTAAGAATACAGGTTGAGTATTCCTCATCCCAAATGCTTGGCACCAGAAGTGCTTTGGACTTCAGATTTCTTTGGTATTTGGAATATTTGCATATGTATAATGAGGTATCTTGGGGAATAGGAACCAAGTCTAAACATGAAATTCATTTGTGTTTCATATACACACTGTATACACAGACTAAAGGTAATTTTATACAATATTTACATAATTTGGTTCATGAAACAAAGTTTTGACTGTGTTTTTTTTTTGAGACGGAGTTTCGCTATTGTTTCCCAGGCTAGAGTGTAGTGGCACAATCTCAGCTCACTGCAACCTCTGCCTCCTGGGTTCAGGCAATTCTCCCGCCTCAGCCCCCTGAGTAGCTGGGATTACAGGCATGTGCCACCATGCCCAGCTAATTTTTTGTATTTTTAGTAGAGACGGGGTTTCACCATGTTGACCAGGATGGTCTCGATCTATTGACCTCGTGATCCACCTGCCTCGGCCTCCCAAAGTGCTGGGATTACAGGCGTGAGCCACCGCGCCAGGCCTTGACTGTGTTTTTGACTGCACCCTGTCACATGAGGTCAGGTGTGAAATTTTCTACTTGTGGCATCATGTTGGCACTCAAAAGTTTTGGATTTTGGAGCATTTCTGATTTTAAATGTTTGGACTAGGGATACTCAAGCTGTATCAGTTTTAGGATATAGACAGAGTACCAACTCACCTATTCCTAGTACTATAAACTCTGGGATATAATGGTGGAAATTATCTAATGAATCTTTGCAGGCAAACCAAACCCTTTTTTGATACAATGAGCATCTCAGAATTGTGTTTGATATCCTTAGACTGGAACCCAAATTGGGCCAGAAGAAAAGGTTTTACTTAAAAAAAAATTAAACTTGTATACTAAAATAGAGTCCTAGGAGTGGTTTACAATCTACCTTCTGTGAAACATTGGAATAAAAATATTAAATAAAGATTTATCTCATCTCTGTTCCAGGGGTAGGGGAGGAAGAAGCAGAGAAATGAAATATGTTTTGAATATAATTATATGCCAAACTTTGTATGTTACACAAATAACATTTATCATCCTATTAGACTAAAAGATGGTACCACAATGCTATTTCAAAATTTTCACTTCTTTGGTTACCATTAAAGTTGAGCATCCTTCCCCCATGTCCTCTTGCTTTTTACATTTCCTGTTTTGTGATCTACATGCTCTTCTGTTCATCTCTCTTGCCTGATTATCTTTTCAATATTTTTATTGTGATAAAATATAAATAATATAACATTTGCCATTTTAACTATATTTAAGTGCATAGTACCATGCCATTAATACACCTATATTATTCTGCAGCCATCATCACTATCCATCTCCAGAACTCTTGCATCTTGCAAAACTGAAACTCTATATCCATTACATAGTAATTCCCATTTCCTCTCCCCTGAGCCCCTGGAAACCACCATTCGACTTTGTGTCTCTACGAATGTCACTACTCTACATACCTCATATATGTAGAATCTTAAAATATTTATCCTTTGTGACTGGCTTATTTCACTTAGCATAATATTTTTAAGGTTCATGTGGTAGCATGGGTTAGAATTTCCTTCCTTTTTAAGGCTGAATCATGTTCTATTGTATGTATGCACCACATTTTCTTTATCCATTCACTCATTGATGAACAGTAGTTTTTTTCCTACCATCTGGCTGTTATAAATAATGCTCATATGAACATGAATGTACAATTATCTGTTTAAGTCTCTCTTTTCAATTTTTTGAGGGATACACACAGAAGTGCAACATCATATTGTTTTTCATAGAGGCTGCAACATTTTACACTTCCATCAACAGTGCACAAGAGTTCCAATTTCTCTACAGGCTCACCAACACTTATTTCTTGTTTTTTTTTCTTTTATTTTCATAATAACTATCCTAATGGGTATGAAGTCCATTTATCTTTTAAAGTCTTAAGATTTCTTATTGAAATCAAGAGAGATTCCCACCATTGTTGGATTTGAAGAAGCAAGCTACCATGAATTCTACCACTGCAAGGAATGAATGCTGCCAACAACCCGAGGGAGTTTGAAAGCAGATTCTTCCCTAGTTGGTCCTCCATATGAGAATGCAGTCCCACTGACACCTTGATTTCGGCCTTGTGAGACCAGCGGCAGAAGACCCAGATAAGCTGTGCCTGGACTCCACCCCATGGAAACAGTGAGATAGTGAGATCATAAATGTGTGTTGTTAGGGCCAGGCGCAGTGGCTCAAGCCTGTAATCCCAGCACTTTGGGAGGCCGAGGCGGGTGGATCACGAGGTCAAGAGATCGAGACCATCCTGGTCAACATGGTGAAACCCCGTCTCTACTAAGAATACAAAAAATAGCTGGGCACGGTGGCGCATGCCTGTAATCCCAGCTACTTAGGAGGCTGAGGCAGGAGAATTGCCTGAACCCAGGAGGCGGAGGTTGCAGTGAGCCGAGATCATGCCATTGCACTCCAGCCTGGGTAACAAGAGCAAAACTCCGTCTCAAAAAAATAAAAATTAAAAATAAATAAATAAATAAAACAAATGTGTGTTGTTTTACATACGTTGCTAAATTTGTGGTGATTTGTTTTGCATCAGTAGAACTAGTAACAGATCTCGAGGTAGTGAAACAGTTCAAGAAAAGGTGGCAAAAGGGATGTTAAGTGTGATACAGTAGAATAATCTATCAAGAGCAGGTGGTGAAACAAAGCTAGAAGTAGGCAGCAGTTCTTCCATTCTCCCAGGTTTCTGAGTAGAGAAACCAGAACTTTGAATGTCTCTTTGCCATTTCTGTAGTACTTTTGCAGGCACTCTAGTAGCTTATTCCATAAATCCACAAGCCTGAATACTCTTTTGAGTTCTCAACACAAAGGGAAGGACTAGAAAACCTTTTTTTGTTCCTCTTCAGTCATAAGACATACTCACCATTACCAATCCATAATCTAAGGCTGTTGCTGCTTCATAAATTACATCTGGTTGCATAATATATGGTTACCATAACACAACTTTCCTCCTAATAAACGAAAAGCTCCTCTGAAAAATATTTCGTGATGATGGAGAAAGCATATATTGTAGAGGGGGAAACTGTGTGGAAAGAGTCAATGGTTTTTCCAAAGTTAAAGCTGAGTCAGTGGCCAGATCAAGAATAGGACCTCAATCCTGGGTCTCCTAGGGGAAGTCCAACATTAAACTGAAAGCAGGGAGGTTAATGCTCACTGGCTTTGTTCTTTTACTTTTGGAAGCCTGAGTACTAATTTTATCCTACCTCTGACTATGAACTATTAGTCCTCACCATCCTACCAGATTATTGACATTTTGAGGAAAAGGACTGGCAAAATAAAGCTTCAGATATTTTTTAAATGAATAATTCAATCACAGTATGCAGTAGCTCTGGGAAAAGTGGCTGAGATTGGGTCAATCCAGAAAACCCTGAAAAATACCAGGGGATTTTTAGGTGATCATACTATCTTGTTCAATCTCAGGCTTAACAGAAAGCAAATACTCAAAAGGATACTTTAGAATGTATCAAAATCAATCCAGGAGCTTGTTTTACAATGGAAAATTTTGGTTACACCCCTTGAGCTTTTAATTCAGAAGGTTTAGGGTGGGTCTGGGGGAATGTGCATTTTAACAAACATGCCAAGTGAGTTTGATGCAGGTGATCTCCACTGTTGGAGAGACATCAAATGGATTGGTGATATGATAGCTACACTGGATATTTGCACCAGCGTTTTATGTGTTTGCAAAAATTTCACAACTCCTTATAAACAAGACAGCATTGCTAATAAGGAAATTGAGGAATAGTGTGGTTAAATAAATTGCCCAATATTTACCTTCAACTTACTGTATGAGTCAAGACCAGAAAAAAAAACAAAAAGGCCAGCAACACATAATCCTCTAAGGCTTTTCACACCCCCACCCCCACCCCATTCCATGTCCTAAGAAAACTCTAGCAGAAAATAACAGGAGGGCCCTTGGACTGTGTTGATATTGGCAGCAAAAGTGCATCCAGCTATCCGGTCTCAATAAAAGAACATTTTTCAAATCTTTCAAAGCCAGCCACACTAAAGCTATAATGGCTTTACCTCATTTTAATCTATGCAGCCAGAACCACTCAAGGAGAGCAGGTCTGAACCCATCTTTGGGAAATCATGCTGGCATCAATATTAAGAAGATTTAAAAATTCCCCAGACATCTGGTCTGACTTAATAGACCTCTTGGTGCTTTCTGGATTCTTCAAAAATGCTAATTGGGAGGTCACACGCTTACTGTCTCTTTTTCCCTACAGATAGACAAGTCCCTACAGATAGACAAATCCAGTGAGCCAAAAGTATCAATTTCATTTCCATTTCCATAGATTGGTTCATTGATTAATGTATTTCTCTCTCTGTGTGTGAATGTATTTAATTTTCCAATTTGCATTATATTTCATTTATTCCTTCACTCCCACTGAATGAATACTTACTAAGCACATACTCCATGCCAGGCATTCAGCTGTCCCCTGAGAGATGAGGATGAAAAGTCTGGTTTCTGTCCTCAAGGAGTTTACACTGTGGCAAGAAAATGTACAGGCAAATAGACCCTCTAAAATTTGTGTAGCCTGTGCCTGTGCTCTGGGGCAAGCAGGAACTGAAATCCAGCTTTCCTTTGGCTCTGCTCGCCAAACCGTGAGCCCTAGCTGCGGGCTGCATTTCTCCAGAAGCCTAGGAGACAACTTTGTTTCCTAAGTCCCAAAGATGGGCTGTTAATGGCCCTGTATACAAACAATTAATAATACAATGAGTTACAAGTCTGCTCAGCAGAGCCAAGGAAGGTTCAGAGAGGACACTACTTGTGTTAAGGCTTGAAAGATTTGTAGGTGTGCAGGGTTTTTCTGAATCAACAACAAGGAGAAGGATGTTCCCAGCAGATGGCCCGGAAGCATGAGAAAGCATTGCATCATCAGGAAACCTGAGAGGTGCAAGTGCCTAAGGGACAGGAGCCAAGGCTGGACCTGAGGCCAGATGGGGAGGCAGGGTCACATCAGGAAGCCAGGTGTGTTCATGCAAAGACTTTTTCTAGTTATTTCACTGATGAAAGGGAGAATAGTAGGTTGGCAGAGGTATCTTTAAATAAGGCAGGGAATATAGGAAATGGGTAGTGGGACAGAGGGTGAATTCAAGGGCTTGAAATCGGTATGAGAAATCCAAAGTTACCAATCAAACAGTGATAGAATTCCATGAAAGGAATCCAGTTATAATAGTTTTGTTATCCTGGGTAGCTTTATTAACACAACTAATGGTATAACTTGTTAGGATTTTAAAAATATTCATAATTTATCTAATATCCTCATGAATACCTTCTTAGGCCATAAGGTTTAGAGCAGGAATTCCTGTTAAGACTAGGACACAAATATGTGTGTAACTTATGGCAGAACAGCACAAGACCCTAACCTTCACCAGGTGTTCGGTAAAGGTGAATTCATGGAAAGAAATTCTATGGTACTTGCTACCCCAACTACTCATTTGTCATATGCCATCTGAGGACCAATGATGTTGGTTATCTGTTCATGTAAGTATCCACTGCTTCTCTCCCTGTGTTTTAAGGTCAATGTATATCTCCCACAAAGTTCAGCATTTAGTAAAGGCATGATGAGTGTCTACAGCCTGGCGAGGGGAATTATTCTCTAATTAAATGAGACTTATTCCAAAGTCTCATTAGGTCACTTTGGTTAAAGTGCACTTGGATCTGTAAATTCCACAAAGTAGAATGTTCCTGGAGTGAGAATTCTTGTATCTGGGGTAACTAGCGGAAGAAACTCTTCAAACTATGCATCCTGAGCAGGTACCTTCTTTACCTGTGAATGCCTCTGGGGAAAGATGAAGAGTACATACTTTTCAAATGTAAGAATTTAAGCTCAATAGAACAAAGTTCAGTAAGGGCAGTTCCAGGAATGGAAACTCTTGTAAGTCCAAACAAAATATAAATACCCTGAGTGAATGTGGCACACTAAAGACTGTGTGCCACACACACCTAAGATTGTAAAGTATCCAGCCAGCCCTGAAGGCTGGATATTGGGAAGAATAGTAATAATGGCTAAATTTATTGAATGATGTGTTAGGCCTTATTCTAAGCACTTTGCATGTGTTATCTAATTTAATCTTCAAAACAATTTTGTAAGGTAAATGCTAATTTGTATCCCAACTTTTCAGATATGGATAGAGTTATGAAAGTTTGGATTATGATTTTGGAATTTCTTGTCTGGAGTGGTCTGAAGTTATCCCTCAAGTTTACAAATTCACTAAAAATAGTATTTATGGAGTACATGTGCTAGGCACTGGGCTCAGTGCCAGGAGCAAAGCCATGTTTAATTCAGTTAAGTTCCTTGTTTTCACAGGGTTATATTCCAGAGGAGCAGAATAGATAATCAATAACTGAATGTGATGACTGAATTGGGTTAAGTCTGAAGGAAGTAAGGGGTGACAGAGTGACAGGTACACTAGGGACAGAAGCCTGGTGGGCCTTTCTCAGGAGATTGCCTCTAACCTGAGTCCTGGGGACAAGAAAGAGCCAGCCACATGAAGGACCAGCAGAAAAGTGTTCTAGGCAGCAAGTCCCTGAGCCTTGAAACATAATTGAGTTTGGCACATTTGAGGAGTAGACAGAAGGAGGCTGGTGGCTGTCTTGGGAAGGGGGAGAAGGTATGTATTGAGGTTGCAGGGGGAAGCAGACCAGGGCTCCACAGGAAGTCCTTGGGAAGGAGTCTGGATTTTATTCTAAGCCACTGGAGGGTGTAGGCAAGGGAAGGAGGTGACCTTGAGATGTGTGCAGATCCCAGTGGTTGAGTGCAGAATGAATGAATGGCAGGGTGTAGGAGAAGGAAGGCATTTAGCCAGCAGTCTGCTGCAGTAGTCCAGGTCGGGGGGGATGGTGTCATGGACTAGGCTGGTGGCAAGAAATGAGCCCAAACTGGTTTTTGCTCTTGAGGGCAAGGAAAAGGGGGTAAGTATTCTTTAACTGTTGCAATGTCTGTCACTCACAAATAGACACTTTAAAATCTGACTTGTGAAACAGCTTTCAAGGACCTTTAGCAGGTTTGACTTGGACTATCCTGTCCTCTGTTGTCAGCAGCAACAAGACTGATGGAATGCAAGTGGAATGATTATCTCATTCTATTAAAGTCATAAATTCTTTCAATAGCTTGACTTTTTACATTAATTACAGAAGAGTCCCTTTTTAAATACAATCTGTTTTTATGATAAATTTACTCACCTCCAAAAGTAAAGACCAATTCAAAAGGTATTTCACATTTAAGAATCTTTTTTTTTTTTTTTTTGGATTTTTAATAGAGACGTGTTTTCACTATGTTGGTCAGGTTGGTCTCAAACTCCTGACCTCAGGCAATCCACCTCCTAAAGTGCTGGGATTACAGGCATGAGCCACTGTGCCTGGCCAGCATTTAAGGATCTTTAAAATAGTGATGTGATGGGTTAACTCTGGCATGTTTTTGTTAGTACATGCAGATTCGATTGCAGAATAAAGTGAAAATTTAAAATATAGTTATATAGAACTGAGTGGGAGGCCAGAAGGGAAAGGAGTTGAAGAAGTTCTTGGATCAGAGGTTAAACTACAGAACAGACTACTATATGAGAATCTTCTGTCAATTCTCTCCCACACCAGAAGCCATCTCAGCTGATCAGCAGGCGGTAGGGAATTAGGGAAACCACAGAGGGACAGCTCAAGGCAAAGACAGACAGGAGATGGCCCCAAAGGGTCCTTCCAGTGCTCATCTCTTGTTCTGATGGGTTTTCTTTTAATTGAGGAAAGTGACATTCTATTTCAGGACTTGGTTATTTTCATATATACTGGCTGATAATTCACTTTGACAGTAGACCATGCTCTCTATAATAGAGGAGGGAAAACTGAATTATTGATGACATTATAGAGCAACATTTAATGACATGGAAAGATGTTCTGTGTGATAAACAGAATGTTGTTTTAAAATGTGTGTGTATATATGTGTGTGTATCTGAAGAAATGAGTAAAACTACATACTCTAACATGTTAACAGAGCTTATCTTAGTAGTTAACTGTTTTTTTCTTCAGAGATGGGATCTCTATGTTGCCTAGGTTGGACTCAAATCCCCACGCTCAAGCCTCAGCCTTGCACCTGGAACTACAAACATGCATCACCATGCCTAGCTAATAGTGGACTTTGGATTGATACATATGTAGGTATTCGAATATATGTTTAATATATACCTATATTTCTTAGCAATTTTTTTGAAAAATTTTTTCTATAAATTTTTTTTTTTTGAGATGGAGTTTTGCTCTGTTGCCCAGGCTGGAGTGCAGTGGTGCAATCTCGGCTCACTGCAACCTCTGCCTCCTGGGTTCAAGCAATTCTCCTGCCTCAGCCTCCTGGGCAGCTGGGATAACAGGTACACACCACCATGCCTGGCTAATTTTTGTATTTTTTAGAGATGGAGTTTCACCATATTGGCTAGGGTGGTCTCAAACTCCTGATCTTAAGTGATCTGCCTGCCTCAGTCACCCAAAGTGCTGGGATTACTGGCGTGAGCTACCGTGCCCCACCAAAAAGCAGAATTTGAAAAACAAAAAAGTTGTCATGTCTTTAAAAAATAATTTTATCTTTTAAAGTTGTATTCCATTAGATTAACTGTCTCCATAAAACATCTATTTCATAATTAACTCTTACATTTTATTTCTTAATTTCAGTTAGCATTTCATTCATAATAATCTCCAGACACAGCCATTTAAAAAAATTAATGCCTTTCCCTCTGGCAAAAACCACCACACCCCCATGGCAATTGCAGCTCTCAAGTCCTCCGTCCCATCACCCAACTTGGCAAGAGCCTGGGGGATGAACACAGAAACTCATACCATGGCAGGAGAGAGGACTGCTCTGCAGTTTCCAGGCTGGCATCTTAGCAGCCCATTTTTTGGACTGTTTGAGAGCAACGGCCATGAAGTGAATTTATTCTCTTTTCATAAAGTCTATCAGAGCACCAGGGGTATGAAGTCTTCTACAGAAATGCAAAATACAGAGCTAACCACCAACCGCGAAACAGAGGAAGTGTAGTCATGTGCTCAGGAGTCTCCATGGAGACACCCTTCTGTCTACATCATCATTTATCATCTGGATCTCTAGTCATTTTATAACCACAAGGATAAAAAGAACCATGGATTCAACTTGCACTGGCTTCAGAGACAATCATACATACTTTTATATACTCCTTGGCTCACACTGTGAGCAGCACTATCCACTGCTACCGCAAAGTGAGAGTAGGAAATCTGAGAAAAGAATGAGACTCACATTTGCCTGATTGAAAATTGAAAGGCCCTCCATTATCCTTGTCTAGAAAGACTAAGATTTTCTCCCTCATTGCTCTGGTTGCCAGGACTGCCCTCATCCTTTATAGCCCCTCTGACTCCCAGGGTAGAAACTCCCATGTCCAACACAAGATGATGCCAGATTTTTTAGAGGATTCTTTTTTTTTTTTTTTTTTGGAGATGCAAGTCTTGCTCTGTTGCCCAGGCTGGAGTACAGTGTCACGATCTCGGCTCACTGTTGCCACCTCTGCCTCCTAGGTTCAAGCAATTCTCCTGTCTCCTGAGTAGCTGGGACTACAGGCATGTGCCACCATGCTGGGTAATTTTTGTATTTTTAGTAGAGATAGGGTTTCACCATGTTAGCCAGGTTGGTCTCAAACTCCTACTTTCAGCAATCTGCCCACCTTGGCCTCCCAAAGTCCGGGGATTACAGGCATGAACCACGTAATTTTTTAAGAAGGACATCTATCCATTTTTCTCCCAGTGTGTACAGTGTAACATTTTTTTATTTTAAGTTCAAGGGTACATATGCAGGTTTGTTATATAGTAAACTTGTGTGATGGGGGTTTGTTTTAAAGATTATTTGTCACCCAGGTATTAAGCCTAGTACCCATTAGTTATTTTTACTGGTCCTCTCCGTTCTCCAACTTTCCACCCTCCATTAGGCCCAGGTGAGTGTTATTCCCCTCTATGTGTCCTTGTGTTCTCATCATTGAGTTCCCACTTATAAGTGAGAAGATGAAGTATTTAGTTTTCTGTTCCTGTGTTAGTTTGCTAAGGATAATGGCCTCCAGCTCAATCCGTATTCCTGCAAAGGGCATGATCTCATTCTTTTTTATGGCTGCATGGTATTCCATGGTGTATATGTACCATATTTTCTTTATCCAGTCTACCATTAATGGACATTTAGGTTGATTCTGTGTCTTTGCTATTATGAGTAGAGCTGCAATAAAGATGCACATGCGTGTGTCTTATAATAGAATGATTTATATTCCCTTGGGTATATGCCCAGTAATCAGATTGCTGGGTCAAATGGTATTTCTGTTTTTAGGCCTTTGAGGAATTGCCACACTGTCTTCCACACTGGTGGAAATAATTTATACTGCCAGCAATAGTGTATAAGCATTCACTTTTCTCTGCAACCTTACCAGCATCTGTTATTTTCTGTGCAATGTCACAATTTAAATGTTAAACATCATTTCACCCATGGGAAAAAGAAATACACTAGGACTGACTAGCCTGAGACAGACCAGCTCTTCAGCTATGCAACTTATACCTATCAACAAATAGCAGAAAAATGACTTCAGTGTATCTGTTCTGATGGTAGGAGAAATGGACTCGATAATATAAAAGAATCTCTTTAGACCAGAACCAATTTTACAGATCTTTTTTTACACCTAAGTAATGCCCCACATTTCATTAAGGGTGATGACAATGTTGTGTCAGTGAAGAAGTTGCTTCTCATATAACCATACTGTCATGCAATGAAGTTCTTTTCATTTTTTTCCCTCCAAATGTGCTTTTTTATTTTGTAGAGCCAATGTTAATAACTAAATTAACATTGTGGAGCCAATGTTAATAGTTAAACTAATAGTTTAGTACTGTGGCTTACTAAAGACTCAGGATAAAAAGTCAAAAAAGAACAAAGTAAACACAGTATTCCTAAGACTTTCATATACATTATCTTACAATTGTCAAAAATACTCTGAACATTGTTACTCCTACCTTAGAGGGATGGATTGAGGGTCTTGCCTAGGATGATGTAACTGTTGTGTCATCGGGCTTAGATCTGTGCTCATGCGTGTTAGCTGGGTTACATAAAGTGGCTGCAACTCTGAAGCAGAAAAGCCAAGTAACTCTTTCTCCTTATCAGACCCCAAAAGATGGCACTTGTTACAGAGAGGGTATGAAAAGAGGCTGCTTGCTCAATGTACCTCAGACCATCTTTATCTGTGCTGTTTTATAACCTGGGTAAAACTAGGAATGTAGAAGCAACCTTAGGTCATAGTGAAGAGAGGAAGAAAGCACCGTGTCTGTTACCCAACTGTGCGTATGCAACAAGGATGAAGAACACCACCATTTACAATGAGTTAGCACATGAACTTCCTGGAGCTCCGGGGGAAGTAGAAATGCAAATCCATCCTCACCCTCAAGACTCTTCAGCAACTCTTCGGTGTTACATCTTACTCAACCCAACCTAATATACCACCTCCTCCTGGCCTGTTATGGATGAGAAAACCAAGGCTCAAAGATGAATTGATCTTTAAGGTCCCAAAGTTAGCTGGTGGCAGAGGTGAGACTAGAACATAGGTCTTCTAACTCTTACCCCTGCCCTCTATCTAATATGCAAATCTCCTGCCCGATATGTATTACAAATGATGGGGACAGAAATCACAATGGCAGCTATCACTGACTAAATGCTTACTGATGGCCAGAGACAGTATTAAGTGTTTTTCATAAATGATTTCAGATAAGCCTCAGACTTTCAAAATCACAAGGTAGATGAGGAAACAGAGACTCAGAAAGATCATGCAACTTCACCAAGACCCCACTGCAAGTAAGTTAACAGAGGTGGCACTGAGCCCAGGTCTCTCTGAAGGTAAAGCAAGTCTATATCAAATTACCTGTCTCTGCCCACTGGGTTTGGTGAAAATCACAGTGATTAAATATGAACAGCTGACATACCTGCTTACTGTTACACTTTACTCCATATACCTTAAAGGCTTGACAGAAATAGATTTCAACAAAAAGGTGACCATTAATCTGCCCTTTTCTTCTTCAACACATATTCTTAAAGAGTTTCTCAGAAGAGTAAAAAGCCTTATTCAGATAGTCTAAATCTGCTAATTTATGTGTTGAAGGGAAGAAAACTCATTATCTAAGCATAAATAAAATAAACTAGTTCTTCAGATAATGAAATCCCAGTCTCCCAGATGTGGAAATCAAATGTGCCAAGTAATACTTAGGTGTCTGGATGCAGTGCCTATTCATAGACTGCAATGATGCGGGGCCTCCAAGGAGGCTCAGGCAAGCCCTTGAGGGGTTGTTATTTATCGTCCTCTCCATTTGTATTTTCAGCACCCACTTTTCTCATCTGTTGATGCTGACTATACAGTTCTTAAGAACTGGTATCTTTCAATTGCTAATTCGAAGAAAGCCTTGATAACAGATGGCTCAGTTGCTTGTACTTAAAAGAAACAGATGACATCTGGGATACCTAATATCACTTGCGTACCTAATATCACCTTGTATAATATCACAAATATCACCAATTAAACAGGTTTCTCAAAATCATCTATACTTAAACTTAGGCTAACAGCTTGGGATACCTAGCATCATTTAATCTCTCTAGAGTATAGTTGTATTTGTATTATTAGTAAAGTTAGAGGCAATTTCATGTCCTTTTTACCTTAAAAATGCTACAGTATTACTACTAATTGGACAAAAGAATTCTAAAACAAATTTTCCTTCACTCCTCTTTTGTTCATCTGCTCTTTTTTCTGTTGCTCCACCTCCAGTTTTTTCCATTCAATCTCAAACGCTTTTTGTCTTCACAAATACTACCTTACTAGTCCTTGCTTTTCTTTGTCATGTCAGATGGGTAATGTGCAGATGTCATAATAAGGTTTGAGGGTGGCAATATCTCACGTATTTGCATGAACACCCAATTATCACACTTATGAACTGCAAAAGGATCCGTTCTTTTGCTTCTATTAGCAGCAACAGCAAAGCATTTTTTTCTACCTTGAGAAAATATGTGATCTTACTATGAATGAGAATACAATGCAGAGAACATGGAATTAAGACATGTATGATACAGGCTAAAGAGATCTAGAGCACATCGACATTATTTAATATTCTTTAGAAACTAAAATGATAATTTTTAATGAAGGAATTCCAAATAGTTATAAAGTTAAAACTCAAGCTTCTGGAAACACCTAGAGTAGAGCCACAATCATAAGCTGCAAACATGATAACCAATGTTGCTTTACTGATGCTAACAAATGCTTTGCTTTTGTTGTGTTTTGCATTTTAAGACATGGATGCATGTATTTTAACTGTGACCAGAGAGATCTTCTTTTCCCTTTCATTTAGAAAAGTTATCAGGGAGAACTTCATTCTAAAAGCTTTTTCCACTCTCCCAAACTTATAGCATAAAAGCAGTAATCAATTAATTAATATATACATAAATGAATGTCTCCCCCAAACATTGTGACAGTAAAGAAATGTTATTTTATATTTTACCTGGGAAGAGCAGTGATTTTCCCCCATTTCTCCACACAGAATCTTCTTGGGCCATTACTCCCTCGGAGAGAAGCAAATCCTTCGTAGGGAATACTGGATGTGCCTGTAACAAACTGTCAACCCAAGAAAACAGAAGGAGAAGGTGAAGCCAGAGACCAACAGCTAGGAAAGGCATCACGTCATTCATGGGCAGAGCTCCTGAAGAATAGTAGGCAGGAGAGTTCTGAAGACAAAACTTCATAGGCGTGGAATAACCACAACACAATTCTGACACAGAGCCAGAAGAAAATACTAAGAAAGGACTGTGCATGATAAAGGCAAAGGGGATGTGAAGGGTTTGTAGAAAATAAAGCACCTGATGCAGCTCAAACCAGGCACATTTCCCGCTATAGATGAATAAAGAGTCTCAGTTAATATCAATTAACCCGAGTCTATTTAGCATCAGTCCCTGATCAATATCGGATGAATTTAAAAAAGAGAATGTCTGGGCCTGCAATTTTGAGGCCCACACCCTTAACCCAAAGATCCAGAGTTCTTGTAAAGCTCTGCCTGAGCATCCAGAGGCTTCTTCATGTCTGGTATCTCTTTAGCTGCAACCAACCAGCGATTGACTGTAAACACCACAAATAAAAAAACAAGTTTGCTTTCTCAGTGTTCTTGAATGTCACTGTTTTCTCAAAGTTGTGGAAAGTTAGATGAAACAGAATAAAGAACTGTTTATCAACTAACTGCATCCCTTTTTCAAGGACTGGAGATCATGTCTTTCTGCTGCTAGGGATGCCAGCCTGCACTTTGGGTACCCTGGGTGCCTCTTGCTGAAGGGACCAAACTGTCCTGAAGGCAGATACTGTTACTGGGATTCTTGGACTGGGCTTGACACTTCGCTACAATTCTGATGAAATGCTTTAACTTGGCTGGGGATGTTCTGAATAGCCATGGAGTCACATAACCATGCAATTAGGAGTCTAGAAATGGTGTATCTCACATTTCCAGATACACACGGTATGTATTTATGGAGAATAATTAGCAGTTATTAAAAACATACATTTCCAACAATAATCATATTTATATATTTAAAAGATTAAAAATGGCATCTTACCTGTAACAACCTTAGTCGTTGTTCATTATTGAATCTTTCCACTGCAGCCCAGAACCACCGAATTACAATATGATTGTCATGGTATCCTACCAAACCAATAATAAAAGCCCATATTACTTTGACTCTTCTATATTAAGCCACCAAGATACATGACACAAAAGAGTTCCCAGACATAAATCATCCTCTTGGGATTCTTTAAAAGTTGTCTATAACTTTAAGACTAAAGAATAACACTGTATATATGATCATATGAGGGTCAAAAGTTAGACAAAAGCAATGCTAAGTGAAACCAAGAGGTCTCTGTTTTCATTTAGTGGTCACTAAATGAAACTAGTAAAGAGAACAATCAATGAGTTATTTTAACCATAGCATTTCTGTAAAATGTCACAGTTGTTACTGGAAATATTTAACTCTTTCAGTCATCCACATGAGAAATAATTTTCAAGTGCCTTTATGCCAATAACTGTACTAAGGTTGGGAGAATAATGGCAAAGAAAACCCACCCAGGGCTTCTGGTAGAGGGGAGACACACTAACCAAATAATTTATAGAAATAAATACATAATTGCAAGTTCTCTTAAAAGCTATCTATAATAGTCATATTTTAAAATCAAATTAGTTTCACATTGATTTACTACAGGGAAAAGTGACCTTTAATTCCTTCAATAAATCTTAAATAATTGCCAACTTAATTTTACTTTTATTCCATACTTTAGTAGAATTTAAGAAAATGTCAAAGGAATCACTTCATGGGCAGTGGTGGTAGATTCCAAAAACCTTTCATTGAAAAAAAAATTAAATTCAGAGACAAGGCTAACAAGGATTTAGTATTTCAAACCAATGAACACCTAGTTAATAGGCACAAATGCTACTTTAATTCTGAGTTAGTAGTCCAGAATAGCAGGTGGGTAGAAATTATTTTAATCAGAATTTTTCCTCACAGTTCAGTAGTTGTAGGATTTTGGAGGAATCTCACCTTATTGTTTACTATTTCATCAGTTATGTTTAGTCCCCTTTGGAGAAAAAAAGAATTGAAGGAAAGGGTGATCAAAACTGGATTGGACATGAGGACACATGGCCCATGCCCAGACTTTGGTGAAGACTAACAACTTGGTACTGAGCAGTTTCTCATCTACAAAAGAAGCACACTGGCTTTTTGTAGCTTTAAAGTTTTTTGACCTTATGAATTAGCCCTTTTCTGCTTTCCTTTTGTTATTTGTGCCAAACCTTTTGGAGGAGGAAGAGTCAATATGTCTCATCGTATTCTCTCCTGGCAGCTGGTGTGTGAACATATGGCAGGTGGCAGCCACACAGCTGCTTCTTTATTCAGTGCCAAGTAGCTGGGTGAGCAAACATGGCAGCTGAGGATCTCAGCATTTTTCTACTCTTTCCCAAAGATTTTATTTGATAAGATTTACAGTAACCATAGAAACAGGTCCTTGATTAGTCAGATTTCGTGAATAAAATTTTATGCCATGGAAATACAAAAATGGCTGATTCCATTAAAGCACTGCTATTAGAATCTCCTGGGTCCGGGTGCAATAGCTCATGCATATAATCCCCACACTTTGGGAGGCCAATGTGGGTGATTGCTTGAGGCCAGGAATTCAAGACCAGGCTGGCCAACATGGTGAAACCTCATCTCTACTAAAAATACAAAAATTAGCCAGGCATGATGATGCATGCCTGTGGTCCCAGCTACTTGGGAGGCTAAGGCAGGAGAATTGCTTGAACCCAGGAGGCGGAGGTTGCAATGAGCCGAGATGGCACCATTGCACTCCAGTGAGTCTGGGCAACAGAGTGAGACAGTGAACTAATAATACTCAAGGTAAAAGGTAAGTTATGTAGCATGTCAGAGAAATTGTGCTCTTGAGTAAAAATCGATGAGTTAACAAAGTTATAATAACCAAATCCATATATGGATCATACATAGGGCAAATTGGAAAAGATTTATTTCAGCAACTGGACTTCGGAAAATCACAGCAATGGAAACTGCAATTAAATACGGACTTTCAGATTAAATGTAAGAGCAAGGCCAGCCTGTGGTGCAGGGATGAGCTGGAAGAGGCAAGCACAGGCATAACCAAAAGCAATTTAGCAAATGTTAAGGCATTTTTAAAATCCAAACTTTTAAAACTACTTAAAAATATATATATCTGGTTCAACTTAGAGATAACTGACAACAGTTCAGCTCTCAATTTATTCTGCTAAGTGATTGATTCAGTGACATTAAGTTTGTATTTTTCTTCTCCAAGTTCAGAACTCCTTCCAACCTCTTAAACTTTGAGTTAAAAAACAAAACCCAAACCAGAAAACAACTGGTATTTGTCATGAATTTCTGAAGGCTTTCTAACACAGTGATAAATTTCAGAAAATGTATTCTTTGCTTAAAATTATATAATAAGACATTAACTCTGGGTTATCATCAAGTCGCTTGCAAAGTATTGCTTTAACACTCAAATTTCAATGGCTTTGGTCCCAGTTACTAATTGATAATTTGTACTGATCTGCAGAAATGTCACTTTTAAAGCTTCCCATTTGGTGAAGTGTCAGATAGTACAGTTTTTAATTAATCTTATTATAGTCTGCTTTTCACTTGAAATTCATGCTTGAATTTAGAACTTCTCCATTAATATTGTATTTTGGGAACTGTATCTTATTCCACTCAAGTGTTCTGACTATGAATTACAACTGGTAAGTAGTGTAGTGAACAGTAGAAAACTGTGCTGATTAGGAAGGTCAAAGGGTGTGCTTTTTAAAGTTTTAGAAACAAAATGAAATAGGTGGAGTTTGACTAGCTGGATGTTAGCTCAATGGTGTTTCACTGACAACATCATAAAGTAATTAATTAATGTTCTTATGGTCACATTTCCTCCCCAACAATTAAGAGTTATGACATCCTTTGATGGTGTGTAAACAGTCCTTCTCCCATCTGACAGATGAGGTAACTTGGAAAAGAAGAGAATGTACTTTGCCTAAGGTCTCAAGGGAGTCTGCATCAGACCTATGATTAGAGCACAAGTGCTTTTGCCTGTCCTATATTCAGTTGGCAAGCTGAACCATGCCTTCCTTTAATTTGAAATTTAAAATCTAGCCATCTATAAATCAAATTTCACCTCCTCTATATTCTGTGTTGTTTCTCCAATCACTTAGGTCTATTTCAGCTGTGCCTGCGATGACCAATTCCAGTTCTCTTGCATCAAAAACAGATACCAGCCTGGCATCCACCACCTGTGGAATAAGAAGAGTACAAGGCGTGCCTTAAGACCCTGGAGAAATATCAGCTGTAATTAAACCTTAGAAAAGAGGACATATGGAGTTTCAGAAATAATATGTGTGTACCTTGTGTTGGCACGTGAAAACCTGTCACACTCCCTACGAATATAAGGTATTCTTTAGTATAAGGTTGATGAGATTTGCCTTGACAGAATTTTTGTTTTATAATTGACTGCTGATTCATCTAGGTCCTGTCTACCTTTAGGAAAATATCTAGTGTTTCTACAGAAAAAGTCACATGAAATACATACCAACTCATTCTGACCCTCAGATATAATTATTTCACATAGCAGGCATGAGATTTGATTACCAGTATCTAAGCAAAAGATGGATGCTTAAATGTTCCTAGTGGTTGTTAAATCAACAAATGCTACTTCAACTCAGTTCATAACATTTATTTCAGTGATTTCTTGTAGCAGTGAGTTAAGCTTTTTTTTTTTTGTGCTCTTGAAACATATGGGAAAAATACGGAACTTTTCTCATAGAAAGAGAAACAGTAAATACAGCAGAAACAGCCTACACTTGTAAAGTGCAATAAGATGGATTATAGCCTCATTGATATCAGACTGCAAACTCCTGCTACTTCTGATTATCTTTACCTCATAGAAGCCACGCACTAAGCTCTCTGTTTGTTGTACAACACCCCTCTCAATCCTCCACTTCACCATCCTCTCGATGTACTCCTTCTTGTTCTTCTCTGTAACTGGGATATTGGCACCCCCTGGCTTTAATTCTCGTTCAGTTATCTGAGATCAAAAAATAAAAAGAATGACCATAAATCAATACTCTCGATGCTGTAAGAACATTACTAGCAGTGAGCTGAACATTCAGCTCATAACATTTATTTCAATGATCTCTTGTAACAGTGAATTAAGCTTTTTTTGGTGTTCTTGAAACATGTGAGAAAAAATACTGAACTTTTCACATAGAGAAAGCAACAGTAAATACAGCAGAAACAGTCTACACTTGTAAAGTATAATAAACTGAAATCAGCCAGCTACCTGTCCCAGCCCTGCCCTAGGTGCATCCCACAAGCTGGCGGTGAAGCCCCAGGCACTCACGGAGCACATGCACTTAGAAAAACCTAGGCATTGAGCTGATGCTTGAAAGCTTTAGTGATTAAAAAAATATGTATTGCTGGTACTACAGGTTAAGTTTTAAAATAAAGACAAACTGGCTCCAGATACTAGCCTGCTACTATTTGAATGTTTGACAAAACCCATTTTCACAAATATCTGAAGATTTACTTTAAGGAAGCAGAATTATAGTCAAGTGAATGTTAAACTGCTTTTTCAAAACATACGGAATTCAAAACAGCAGCTAAATATTAATGCCTAAATAAGAATATTTCTTATAAACTAGTATATAATTTCTGGAAGAAATATTTTCCATACTCTTCCACCAATTTTGAAAAAAAAAATCAATATATTCTGTTTTCAAGTTTTCCCCAAAACATTGTTTTTGTTCCCTTAGCTTCAAAAAAAATCAATTTTGGCTCTTTTTTTCTTTCCTTTTCTCCCTCCCCCCTCCCTCCCTCCCTTCCTTCCTCCCTCCCTTCTTTCCCTCCTTCTCTTTCTTTTTTCTTTCTCTCTCTCTCTTTCTTTTCTTTCTTCTTACTTTTTTTTTGTTTTTGAGACAGGGTCTCACTCTTGTCCCCCAGGCAAGAGTATAGTGGCATGATCTAGGCTCACTGCAGCCTCAACCTTGCCAGCTCAGGTGACCCTCCCACCTTGGCCTCCTGAGTAGCTGGGACTACAGGTTTGTGCCACCATACCTGGCTAACTTCTGTATTTTTTGTTGAGACAGGGTTTCACCATGTTGCCTAACCTGGTCTTTAGCTTCTAGGTTCAAGTCACTCTCCCACCTTAGCTTCCCAAAGTGCTGGGATTATAGGTGTGAGCCACCATGCCCAGCCTCAATTCTATAAATACCAATTTAAAAATTCAATAATGTGGACTGTATTCTACATAAGGTACATTCTCATATTTTGGGGGATATTTTAGTTGGAAATAAAAAGAAGATTGCTTACAACATAAACGGCTATCATCATCTGTAATTTACAGCATCTTAATCTGCAGTTGGCACTAATTCTAACCTTTGTAACTGCAATTATTATAACTGTGTGTGATCCTGAGTTTAAATCACCCAACAAACCACAAATAAATAAGCATCTGATCTTAGCCATGGAATTAATTCTTCACTCGTCAATAGCCTTCAGTTACCACACTTAGGCACCAGGTGTGCAGATACACACACCTGCCCAAATACTTCTTCGTTCACAGTGAACGTGAGGTCCAGGATGTCATGGATATCATTGTCTTTCATCCACTGCAGGCTCTGATGGAACTCTTCATCAAGGTATTCTAGATCACTCAGGTCACACAAACTAGATGACAGACAGAAACAAATATGTAGGCATGGCTATTAGCAAAAACCCAGAGTCATAAGGAAAGAAATTAAGAATTAAAGAGAAAAACAAGAGCCACTAAATGGGCAGTGGTTTCTAGAATGTTCTTAGTCCAAGGCAGTAATTAAACCAGTGAAATAATTCAGAAATTGGTTATAAAATTAGAAAGTCCTAAATATATAATATGCCACAGGAATCATTGAGCCTGCCTCTTTCTTTATAGAGGCAGAACTGGAGGTGCAAAGAATGAGTGCCATCTGCAGTCATCCATCATCAATGCCAGATTAGGAACTGGCACTTGGGTGGACAACTTGGATCCAGTACTCTTTCTGGCTATATTATACTACCTTAAAACACTGTTATCCTAATTTGAAATTATTTATATATTTATATAGTATATTTTAACTCTTTTTGTTCAAAGACTAGATTCTGTGATTCATGTTCACATATACCCCCTTTTTCTGCATAGTTCTTATTCTGAAAACAGTAAGCCACAGAATTTGTCTTAAATTAGAGTGGCTTTCTATATTTCTCCCCCATGTTTTTTAATTGCAGAAAGAGGATCTACATGAGGTATCGCTACTGTTCCATGGCCCTGTTGTACAGTGGCAGTCATTGATTTGCCATAGCTGTTTTGAAATTACACTCCCCTTAGAGCCCAATTTCAAGGTCATTTTGTTCAGTTCAATCTGAACATTCATTAGGCATCAAGTATGTACCAGACATCTGAATAGCAACTTGATGCATAGTCACTACCTCAGGAGCTAATGGGCCAGTTGGGGAGCCAGGTACACAAATAAGATGATATAAAGTGATAAGTGATAACATAAGATTGGTAACACTTAAAATTCATGTACTTTTAAAATGTATGTCACACTTCAATTTAACAAAAGGTAAGGTAGGTACAGGGAGCTGTGAGAGCAAAGATGAGGAACATTCTCTTTGAGATATTCAGGAAAAGCTTTTTACAGAAGATGATGCTTACATTAAATCTTTCAGGATGTTTAAAAGCAAAAGAAGTGAAAAGGAATTAAGGGAAGGAGGAGAAGTGGAAAGAGAAAGGAGAAGGAGAGAATAAGATGAACAAAATACAAAGTCATGGAAGTGTACAGAAAACTCCAAGCATATGAGCAGTTCGAGAGCGTTAACCTCAAGACAGAGAATGAGGCCAGAAAGGGAGCAGGCCTAAATGTCACCCTAAGGAGATGGGTGATTCAGAACTACCAAAAGATTTAAAGATAGGCATGACACGATCAGACGTGAATTGCAAAATATAAACCGTTCCTCTGGAAGTCCCTGTGTGAAGGATTCTTTAAAATGGGGTGGGATGAGGAGTGGTTATCATTAGAGGGTAGAGATCAATTAATAGAGTACTACAGCAATGTGGCAAAATAGAAGATAAGGGCCTTAACTGGCTGGGTTATTAAGGTTGGAGAGGAGAAAATGAATTTGAAAATCATTTAGGAGGTAAACATGTAGAAATCAGGAAATGGTTTTACTGGGGGAGTATAAAGAAGGATATCTAAAATAGGGGTGACAAATGAACTCATGTCAAAACCAACCGTATTTCATTGCCAGGTTTAAGTACTATAAGTTAAAAAGGTTTCAGAGCCACAATGAGTTCAGTGGGAAAAAGTACAAGTGATTTGTGAACTCTACCCTGGGAATGATGGGGTGGAGTAGAGATGGGGAAGAGTAGAACATGCATTTGTCATCACTGTTTAAGGGCAACTCCCAATTTCTGATCAGAGTGACCTGAGAATAGTGGTACTATTAACTGTAACTGGGCACATGGGAGAAGGTATATGTTTAGGTAGCGAAACTTGATGAGCTTAGTCTTAACCATGTTGATTCTATGGTCCTTGTAAGACATCTGAGTGGAGGTATTTGATGGACTGTTGACCAAGTAAAGCTACACCTTAAGGGAGATCAAGACTGAGAGTACAGATTCGGGAGTCAGAGGAGATAAGACAGGTGAAGCAATTCCCCTATGAGAGCACACTGTGTGAGAAAAGCAGGGACCTGATGATAGAAGCTTCAGGTACACCAAGGTTTAAGGGCAAATCAGAAGAGGGGCTCACGAAAGAGACAGAAAAATTAAAAAAGGAACTCGCAAAGTAAAGTGTCATAGATGCCAGCTCTGGAGAAAAGATCCAAGAATAAATAGTGCTGATGATGATTGGTACAGTGTCAGAAGCAGCAGCATGATCCAATAAGATATGGACTAACAAGTATTCTCTAAATGCCTCCACAGGTGGGAAAGAAACCAGGCTGAAGTGTGTTGAGGGTGTGAATTTGAGGTAAGTGTAGATAGCCAGTATAGAATACTCTTTCAGGAAGCTTAAATAAGAAGATAAGAGAAAAGGCAATGAAATGGGAAGATGCAAAGCGGGCCACAAAGAACCAAAGAGACAGAAAATGGCCACAACTGTGAAGACACTGACAGGCAGGAATGCAAAAGTCTTCCTACTGACCCTCCCAAGGACCCACAAGAAGCATTTTGTCTGCTTTCACTTGAAGTCTGGGCTCCATTTTACAGTAAGCAGGTGCATGGCCTCAGTTAGGGAATGGGCTGGACAGAGCCCAGTGATAATTCAGTGCTTTCTCATTGCAAATTTGAGATACTACCCCACAGACAATTGCCTTCTGTTCAGCCTTGTAAATGGCTGCTGATTATAGGACAGAAACTATTAGCCCTACATTTTACAATAATTGCAATCTTTCATTAACAATGAAGAAAAAGTTCTGTGAATGCTGAATTTTCATCTTCTATAATAAATTACTAAGGGCATAAAGTTTTTAAAAAATATGGCACTGTCCACCCCTGACAAAAAAGAAAAAATAAAACCAAAACAAAGGGGAATGAAGATTTGAATGAGTAGTAAATATTTGAAAATTTGCATCAGACTAAACATGAAATGCATTTCATAAAGGAGAGGGGGGCTTTGAGTCTCTAAGACTAACCCACAACTATTCTATTAATTATCTGCATTAACGCCACAGGAATTTTAGGGCTGTGTTGGAAGTACAATTGTTTTGAAGAAACACGTGTTGCAACAAATGAGAATAAATTTTTTAGAGTGGAGCAAAACTAAAACTCTGGGGCTAAATAGTCAGAGGCAGGAAAAACACAGGGATCATAGTTGAAATTGTATCAGTTTCAGAAATCTAAACCACTATTAGATTTAATAACAACAGATTTGAGATTGTGAACAGATAAACAATGACTTGACAAGAATTTTTTCAATAAAGTAAATGCTGCATTTTTACATGCTAATTACACGAGCAATAAAAATATTCTTACATTCTGAGAAGAGCCTTATAAAAGGGCCGTGTGAAGAAGGCATCCAACAAATACTGGTGTATTAGTGCAAGACCAAGGATCCTACCACTGAACCGGAACCTGTGAAGGAAGTGCATGAGATGGTTTACATGTCACAGAGCAGTTTCTATGTGGTTCCATCTGCTTTCTAGAATGCCTTCCAGCTCTAACCATCTAAATTTTTCCAATATTAATTGCCTGCTAGGTCGTGAGAGTTTGTATGCACCATGGGCGGTATCTTCATCAGGCCAGTGATATAGTTTGTGTAGTTGTCCCTGCCTGCATGTCGTGTTGAACTGCAATCCCCAGTGCTAGAGGTGGGGCCCAGTAGGAGGTGGCTGGATCATGGAGGCTGATCCCTTATGGCTTAGTACTATCTTCATCATAGGGAGTTCCCATGAAATCTGGTCATATAAATGTGTGTGGCACATCCCCCCAACTCTCCCTCTCTCCAGCTCTCTCCTGCCCTTTTCATGTGGTGTGCTTGCTTCCCCTTCACCTTCCACCATGATTATAAAAGTTCTCTGAGACCTTCCCCAAAGCCCAGTGATTTGGGTGCTATGGTTCCCATACAGCCTGCAGAATCATGATCCAATTAAACCTCTTTTCTTTATAAATTACCAGTCTCAGGTATTTCTTTATAGCAATGCAAGCATGGGCTAATATAGCCAGTAATTCATACCTACTTGCTGAAGAATTGGTTTCACTCATATTTAGAGAACCTGCTCCCTCTTCACTCCATGTCAACAATGTAGCACCCTACATTCATGAATCCCCTGTGAGCATTTCAGAGAAATTTCCCCAAACCACTTCTAAGAGATGTTTACAGATGAGACCTCTGAAGGTGGGGAAAATGCTATTCCCCTCCTAGTGTATGTTCACGAATATTAGCAGGATTTCTTTAATACAAACTCAGTAGTTCTCTTCTGAGGAAAAGCCCTATTTCAGATCGAGAAAGTTACTATCCCTATTCTCTCTCAAGCCCCATTCCTGATACTTTCACTATTCAAGAATTATGTACATGGACATTTGGGGGAGTTTCCTTCTGGGACATTCTGTTCTCTAAAATTTCAAGCCTTGATTCTATTCTGATTCACTTTGGAAACTTTATTAAATATATTTGTTATGACTGGATGTGCTGCCTGAGATGTCAACTTACTTTCTCTTTCAAAAGGATTCAAGTTTCTAGGTTTTTGAAAGTCTGATGCCTCCCAAAAGTATAAATCCATACTGAGATTCACACTGTAAGTTTGTAATTTTAGTATTAGGCAGCTGTTTTAAGAACAATGTCCAGTAGTGTGGTTTCACTTTATTTCCATTTATTTAGCACAACTATAATAGTCACAGTTAGAAGAACTCCAAATTGCAGCTAAACAGAAGCTAATTTGAAGAGTAACTCCTAAAAGTTAATGTTCTCCACCCACCAATATTAATCTCATGATTCAAATAAGCTTTTCCCATGAATCTTGCTCATATTCTTTTTTTTTTTTTTTTTTTTTTTTTTTTGAGGTGGAGTTTTGCTCTTGTTACCCAGGCTGGAGTGCAATGGCGCGATCTCTGCTCACGGCAACCTCCGCCTCCTGGGTTCGGGCAATTCTCCTGCCTCAGCCTCCTGAGTAGCTGGGATTACAGGCACATGCCACCATGTCCAGCTAATTTTTTGAGTTTTTAGTAGAGACGGGGTTTCACCATGTTGACCAGGATAGTCTCGATCTCTTGACCTCGTGATCCACCCGCCTCGGCCTCCCAAAGTGCCGGGATTACAGGCTTGAGCCACCGCGCCCGGCCGCTCATATTCTTTCCTTTGCTGAGATCAGGGAAAATGAAAGGAATAAGCAAACAGGGGTTATACAAATATTTAAAGTCTACTAATGTAGGGATCTTAAAAAGATATAGGGACATTTGGAAAGAATGTAATTTGGGATTTTCAGCATAAATAATCTTCAGATGGGAACCCTAAATCAGTTTCCTTGATTTTGTGTGAGAAATTAGGAAAGAGGCAAAAACTGGTTACAAACTTCAAATGGCTAATACAGTGAGTGGTCACTGCTTGTGACTTCCCACCCTGCCCTTCTACTATCAACATCTCCAGGTCACCCCACAAGCCCCACTGCGCACTAGAGCACCACTGCGATAGTCAGAGTTCCAGCTGCCCATCTCCTCCTCCCACGGCAGCCACTTCCCCAACGGCTACTCCAGAAGCTGATCTCCGGGTCAGTCCCTTCCCCTCCTCACTCCCACCCGAGCTTAGGGTTCACAGGCACCCAAAGGTGCAGAGGAATTTAGGGATCTCACCCGAAACTCATCATCTCCTTCTTGCAATGGGAAATACCTTTTGAATTCTACCCAACTTACTTAAACTGATCTTATGGAACAGATCAATTTCCAACTAACAACAGATCTAGTCCTAGCTTGGAGACTGCCTGTGTCTTTAAATTTGACAATAAAAACAAGAGTCAAATGAGGTATTTAACTGAAAATATGCTTTTATCCAAGGGAAAAAAATGTTTTAATTTTTAAATGTGGGTTCTATAAAAAAAACTAATATCATAGAAAATCACCTGAAGAAAAGTGTTGGGGGAAAAACACTTACCATTCATGATGATTGTCTACAAAAGCAGACATAGGACTTATTTGTACTGTGTATGTGTCATTTGCTGAATATTCAAATAAGCCATAATATGGGTTAAAGAGTTCTCTGGATACCAGGAAGAAAAACTCTCTGGAAGGCCCGCTGTAATCCAGCCTGTAACAAAAACCGAAAAAAGAATAATCTGTTACTTTTTTTTTCAAAATATTGGGCACTTTTTCTCCAGAGCTCAAGTTTCCACAGAATGCTCATCACAAGTCTAACTGTCCACATACCAGAGCCGTCCAAAACAAATTGAATGATCATAGTTTCTAATCTCATTGTGTCTTGACCCAGATTAGTAAAATGCTCATTTATGTGGAGTATATCTAAAACTAAGCCACACATTAGGGATACAATAGGCAATATTCTAATACATGCAATAGGCAATATGCTAATACTCTGATTATGTAAATAGTATAAAGAGGTAAATCTTTCAAATGTCAGGAGCGAACTATACAAAAGGGGATCACAATGAGAAAGCTTTATTTAAAAGGGTAAAACCAGAAGGAATCAGCTACATATGCTCACAGGACATGAAGTGCTCATGGCTGTCTGAAACCTTTTTAAATGGGAGAAGGAAGATACATCTGTGAATTAGAGATAAGACATTACAGATACAAGTCCCCCTACAAAGATCAGAAGCAAAAAATTGAGTGATAGGGTACAAATGAAAAGTTTAAATTATAAAACACAACGAAAATTACGGAGAAGAAAAGGATGCCTAAAGCTTCCTAAGGAAGGCATTTGGAGAAAGAGGCTAAAACTCTTAACACCTGAGCTACAGTATAAATTCTACTTTACTCAGAAAGATGTCAGGGTCAAGTTGAAGTATGAGAAAAGATTGTGTTAGGTTTGAGGAATGACAAGTGGCCAAGAATGCCGAGAGCAAAAAATGCAAAGTAAGGAGGAGTTTGCAGTAAAGCAATGTGATATGCCATTTTTAAAATTAAAAATATAAAGTACTTCAACCCTATGATAAAAAGTATACAAGTGGGCTCAAGGATAGGGAAGGAATGCTCAAAAGGAATGAAGGCAACTGAGAAATTGGGGTGGAGGAGGGCTTATGAAAGACTCCTCTTCTCCTTCTTCCTTTTTTCCCCCACTATCTTATTTTTTCTTATTTTTGAATTTTTTTCTGTAGGCATCATTGCATTTTTTTAATTAAAAAAAAATCTGAGTCTTGTCCAGTGTTAGGATTGTGTGATGGGAGAAAAAAATGGATACTAAGCAGGGTGTGGTGGCTCATGCCTGTAATCCCAGCACTTTGGGAAGCCAAAGAGGGAAGATTCATTGAGTCCAGAAGTTTGAGACAAGCCTGGGCAACATAGCGACACAGTGAGACCCCTGTCTCTACGAAAAATAAGAAAAAATTAGCCAGGTGTGGTGGCATGTGCTGGTAGTCCCAGCTACTTGGGAGCCCTGAGGCAGGAGCATCTCTTGAGCCCAAGAGTTTGAGGCTGCATGAGCTATGATCACACCACAGCCTGGGTGATGGGGAAAAAACAGCAGCAACGAAAAGAATCCTATAGGCAGAAGATAAATAAAAATGGCTTACACAGCCATTTCTGGCTTCACCTATTCATACTACTTTCCCAATTTTTGTCATATCTGAATATATATGTACTTTTATTAATTTTTTCATTAAATCAATTTTAAATCTATTTGCTTTATTTTTAAAGCCCATGGTGCCCAGTATTCCCAGGCAGTCTCTCATCCAAGTACTAACCAGGCCCGACCCTGCTTAGCTTCTGAGATTAGATGAGATCAGGCACATTCAGGGTGGTATGGCTGTAGATTAAATCTATTTGCTTTTTAAACAGAACTTTGTCTTACACAATCTTTATGAAGTTTTGAGATGTTTGCCCTATTGTTTTCCAATATGCCTTAAAATGAACATATGAATATTAAAATAAAAAGGTCAGTCTTTGTAGTAGTTAAAATCATTTAACACATCACCAGTGGTATTAAAATCCTCACACCCATACTGTGCTGACAGGAAACCTATGTGTACAGAAAAATGCACACAGCAGACTCACAGGGCCAAAGAGGCTGTAGGTGACATGATGGGTCTGCCTTCTGGTGCAGCTGAATATAACATGTTAACAGGTGGCTCCCAGCATCAGTGGGACTACCCTCAGGTTACTCTGAGGACTCCCAAAGCAGTACCCTGGCTGCCTCCCCAGTGCAGACACCCACAGACTACCTGTCCCTCCTCATGCTGTGACAAAGGCAGCCTCTGTGGCTTCCTCCCGCTGACCTACTTCTGGCCTGTGACTCCACCAGAATACTTCTTCTACTTGAACGTTCTTTACATACTCAGAGGCTTGCTTTCAACAAATGACTGTGTGCTGATTATATATGGGGTACTGGTCTAGATCCTAAAGATGTAAAACGTTTTAAAAAGTCATTTTCCATAGGAGCTCTAGGTTTAGCAGTTTCTGTCTCCTGGCCTCTGCCTCCTTCTCTCCCTTTCCCACTCCTGAGCATGGCCACTTCCTTCAACCCTCTCAGGGCAGCGGTAAGAATTCCCTCTCTACCCTGGTGGCAGTAAAGACTTGATGGCAGCCAGGCGTGGTGGCTCATACCTGTAATCCCAGCACTATGGGATGCCAACATGGGCAGATCATGAGGTTAGGAGTTCAAGACCAGACTGACCAACATGGCGAAATCCTGTCTCTACTAAAAATACAAAAATTAGCTGGGCATGGTGGTGCATGCCTGTAATCCCAGCTACTCGGGAGGCTGAGGCAGGAGAATTGCTTGAACTGGGGAGGTGGAGGTTGCAGTGAGCCAAGATCACACCACTGCACTCCAGCCTGGGTAACAGAGAGAGAGAGAAAAAAAAAAAGACTTGATGGCAACACTCCACATGAGGTCTTCTCAGCACAGAGCTTAGAAAGTCCTGGACACTTTTCTTCATGATGAGGGTTAAACTTACCCTGCCTTTGGGGTAACCACTTTACTTTGTTGACTTGTAAAGAGCTAGTCATCAGCTAAAGCCCCAAACCTTTCACTAGGCACTTTAACCCAGGACCCCCTCAATGTGTCTGCATGTAACTGTATCTTTTAAAAGTGGTAGTACTAGACTGTACTTTTCCCTACTAAAATTTCATTTTTGATACATAGTCTCCTGTGTCTTTCCAGAAACAGAGTATGCCAGTGATCAAAGTCGTATTAGAAGTCATGCTGTCCAATCCCCATTTTATAGGGAAGCTGAAAGAGATCACTGATTTGTATCACATGAAACCTGCAATGGAAGAACCAGTAGACCATGAGGTCTTAAGGCAGGTGCCCTGACCTCAAGTTTAATGCTTGTTACTTCTTAGCCTACCCTTCAGTCAATTTTAAATGTTCATCAAGACTTAAAAAATACTGCTAATAGAGTAGGGGTGGGCAAACTATGCCCTGTAGATCCAATCTGCCCCACCCTCTGGTTTGTAAATAAAGTTTTATTAGAACACAGCTGTGCTCACTTATGTATGGATGATGTCTGCTTTCCTGTTACAAGGGCAGAGTTGAGTTGGTGCCACAGAGAAGGTATGAACAGTGAATCCTCAAGTATTTACTACCTAGCCCTTTACAGAAAAATCCTGCTAACCTCTGTTACAAAAGAAAGAAAGTAGAAGGAAAGTACTAGCTGTTAAAATATCTAGCTTATTATTGATCCTCTTCTTTAGTGAAGATTTCTTCAAGGAAATGTAAAATGGCTACAATATCCTAGGGTGTATGCAACCTCAAGGAGCGGGCAGACTACTAAGTGTGAGGCACACAGTGAGAGCCCGTCTGTCATGGTCACTGCTCTGTGGCGCTTTCAGACACAATCAAGCATACAATGGATAAGGTCACAGACAGCTGAAGCATGAGGCAAATACTTCAGGAGTCAGTTTTCTTACAGACAACTGGTAAAAGTAAAATGGGATTTTGCCTGCTTAAAATTAAACTGTGGCATTCAGTTAGAAGTGCCAGGGTTTCTTTAAGCTTTAACTCTGAGTATTCACACTGCACTTACAGAGTGCATTACAATTACCCGTGTATGTGCCTGCCTCCCTTATACATACATATTAGTCTATAACTATACTGGGGGGAGGGACCATGTTTTGCTTATTTTTATATCCCAACTACCTAGCCCGATACAGAGTGGGGGCTCAATATATATTGTTGAATCAATGAGTGGAGCTCTCTGATGCTTTCTAAAGAAAATTGGCCAGGCCCACTAGCTCACGCCTGTAATCCCAGCACTTTGGGAGGCTGAGGCAGGCAGATCACGAGGTCAGGAGTTTGAGAGCAGCCTGGCCAATATGGTGAAACCCCGTCTCTACTAAAAATACAAAAATTAGCCTGGCATGGTGGCATGTGCCTGTAGTCCCAGCTACTCAGGAGACTGAGGCAGAAGAATTGCTTGAACCCGGGAGGCAGAGGTTGCAGTGAGCTGAGATCATGCCACTGCACTTCAGCCTGGGAGACAGAGTGAGAAATTCGTCTCAAATAAAGAAAAAAAAAAGTCAACGTTGCTTACCTTGTTATTTGGTATTTAGCAGATATGCACATTTGCCTTGGAGTGGTATACAGATTCAATGACATGAACAGCTTATACCAATCCCTAAAAGTCTACTCAATTTGAAAACATTGTCAGAAATCATCAGGTAAATTAAGTTTAGAAAGTTTAATATGTAATATCCTCTCATTACATAAAATTTGCTAAATTTTCATGTGGTAAAATTTGATAAAACAACAAAGACAGACCTTACTGATTAGTTCCTTTTTTATGATAATAGCTGAATCTGGATGAAGACGAGATGAATGTTCCCTGAGGAATTAAACTAAAAAGGAAAAGTCTTGTTTGCCCAAGTGAAAACAGAGCTAATAGTTAGTTCCTCTAGGAGAAAATGTATCTTCAACTGGTCAAGTTTTTATCTGCTGACTTTTAACTCTAGAAGCACTGATGGAGTCACCTCTAAAGCCAAAATCGTTTTTAAACTTTGATTTGGTTATAATCCAAAGCTTAGAACTGCCTATCTGAGAACAGGCTGTAGATTACAATTTACAGATAAGCCTAGCTAATTCAGTAAAACATGTCACAGCAGGGTACATCATGCCTTTGCTTCCTGGAATGTCTTAGCAACCTCTTTCATATAAATAGTTAATATGACTCATATCACTGGGATTGTCTGTTACATTCCTGTTTTGCCAGTTAGGTTGGTTCCACAGCTAAAGGCTTGGCACATAAATATAAAAACTCTCAACAACGGGTGTGTAGCCCCACAACAGCTGCATCTGAGGGCATTTCCGAATACACACAGCTGTCTCCAGGGTGGCCATGTAAGTGTGGAGCCCCAAGTGCTGACAGAGCATTTTAAACATCATCACATTGCTGGGTTGGCAATCCACCCAAGTTGTCAGTAGCACCCAATATTTGTTAAAATAATAAATTCTATTCTCTCATTCTTTATTTTCAACTAAGAATTACTGAAAACTCAGTATTTCTTAATGAAAGTTTTCTCAGTCTCAATGAAAGCAGACTATGAAATGAGAGAAGATAATGGCTTTAGGAAGTCACACCATCATTTCCTACATGTTGGTTCAGGCATATACGGCCTACACACCTTCTGATTCACCCTCAGATATTTATAGCAGCAAGGCGTGAGTTCTTAAGCCAATTAAGAAAGCCTGGTAAATGAGTAAGGAATTTTGATATGATAAACAAAGTCTTACCTGGTGCTACCAAGCCAAAGCTGAGATAAAGAAGCACCCTTCTTTAGAAAGGTTTGGTAATTTAGGTTCTCCTGCAAATGTCTCTTTTTGGAAGAAAAAGAAAGCAACACCATAAAGTATACCTTGAAGCTTCACAGATGTCTGAGAAATTAATGAGCCTTAAACAGCTTCTAGTGAGGATCTGACCAGTCATATGTAAGAATTGGCTGGTTACTTTATAAGCAGGGACTGAAGAAAACTCTTTCAGATCTCATCCTCCCTAGTTGCTTTCATTTGCCTCTCTCAGGGGGATTACAGAAAGCTCAAAAGAAAGATACCACAGGAAGTTCTTAAACTCCCAAACTAAAACTGCTTGTACACATCTCCTCCCTAGTCAAAGTGTGGCTCTGCAAGACATGATCGATGTCATATTGATGGCAACTCACACATAATAAACTCATTCTTTCTTAAAGAAAGGTGCCTTTTACAGAACTGGCCATGGAAAAACAGGTGGGGCAATCACACAAACCTCCTCTCTTTATCCAGGCCACTATTTCTTTAATGTTTTAGGTACTAAAAAGTTAGTGGCCCCATGCCTTATCAGAACACAACAGTTTAATCCAGTTGTGTGTGTTTTTTTTAAAGAGTTTTGCTCTGTCACCCAGGCTGGAGTACAAAGGCACAATCATAACTCACTGTAACCTCTAGGTCCTGGACTCAAATGATCCTCCCACCACAGCTTCCCAAGTATCCAAGATTACAGGTACAAGCCATCACACCTGGCTAATTTTTTTAACTTTTTATAGAAATGGGGTCTCACTATGTTGCCCAATCTAGTCTGGAACTCCTTGCCTCAAGCAATCCTCTCACCTTGGTCTCCTAAAGTGCTGGGATTATAGGTATGAGCCACCATGCCTAGCATCTAGGTAACTTTTGAAATCACGTAACTTTTAGTGGCTAGTTTATTAGGACTTTCAATTCAAAAGAAAATAATACACTGGAGAATGTGCAGTATCATAATATAGTGGGAAAATATGTAGAATAATTCACTAGAGAATATGTATATTTCATTGACCTCATGCCTAGAGAAGCAACTTCTAGATAGACTGAAGCCCAGCAGAAACAGGCAACCCCTGCATGCAATTTCACACCACATTCAATCAAGATGACTCAGTTTTCAGCCACTCCACCACTGCTGATCTCCCTTCCCCACAACTTTGCAAAGGCAGATAACCAGATTAAGTTGTGTGGAAATTTTCATGACGAAAACAAAATCTCGAGGCCTAACCAAATTAAATCACTAGTTACAAGATAGTGCTTAGAAACTACCTGCTTTTGGTAAAAAGCCAAAGCATCATTCAAAATCTGGTTTCAGTGAAGATGTTATAGTTTCTTATCAACTAATGCATTTGTATTTATAGACTCTAGGATTATTTTTGTATTTTTAAATTGAATATATACCTCTCGTATTCTGGGGCTAATTCTACTTTGCATGGAATTTGCAGCCATCCTGTAAATTTTTGACCATAAACGTTCCCATCATTTCTCTTGGCTCAACTATTCTATTTAAGGAACTATCCATATATCATGTTTTGGACTTATGCAAACAAACAAAGCAGAGCTGAAATCTCTCTGCTCATTCACACCCATTTTGGAGAGCAAGTAGATGCATTATTCTTTAAAATAAATTCCCTTTTTTTAAATGCTTTAGCTAATCTACTGTAAATAAAGACCTTGATGGTGACAGGTAAAATATAATCATTGAAATGGTATCAATATGAATTATAAAGTATTATTCCTTCATAGATAACACAGTTGACATAAGAAACACAAAATAATACTTATATATGCCAATGCCACTACTAATTTGGACTTCCCACATAATTAACCCCATATATATACTTATTACACTAATGAACTCAAGTGCAGACATAGATACATACATACCAAAATTTACCCTGAGGGGGCAGTCATTTATCAGGTAACAACGAAATAAGTTGTTCAAGGAAACATTTCCTGAATCTCCCCAAATCCTGACTGTATATTTTCTTTTAAGAAACTTTTTGTTTTAGAATAGGTTTGATTTACAGAAAGATTGCAAAGATAAAAGAGAGTTCTTGTATATATCACACACAGATTATTAACGTCTTACATTAGCACAGTACATTTGTTATTCAAAACCAATCTTGATATACTGTTATTAGCTAAAATTCATACTTTATCCACATTTCCTTAGTTTTTACTTAATGTCCCTTTTCTGTTCCATCTAGGAAACCACATTACATTTAATTGTCATGTCTACTCTTGGCTGTGACAATTTCTCAGGCTCCTCTGGTCTTTGATGAACTTGGCAGTATTAAAGAGTACTGGTAAGTTATCTTGTACAACATCTCTGTTGGGATTGTGTCTAATATTTTTCTCATGGTTGGACTAGCATTATGGATTTGGGAGGAAGACCACAGAGGTAAAGTGCCATTCTCATCGTATCATATCGAGGGTATACATTATCAACATGACTGGCAGCTATTGATGTTGACCTTGATCACCTGACTGCCATAGTGTTTGTCAGGTTTCTTGACTGTGAAGTTACTTTGTTCCCCTTCTTTCTATAGTGTACTATTTAGAAGAAAGTCACTATGCACATTCTATACCTAAGGAACAGAGAGTTATGCTGATTGTATGGAAATATTCTACAAAAGGGATTTTCCCCTCATTTTTAGTGAAAGCTTTCACCAACTACAACATAACAGAGTGTCTTTCAGTTTAATTGGGCCAAATTACATCATTTCTCTACCCCAGACCTACAGCTGTTTCTGAAGGGCATATTTTCTATTGTTTGCCTTAAATTAATTCATATCTACCTTTAAAGCAGTGATTCTTTTTTATAATTGTTAATTTTATTTATTTCAGTAGATTTTTGGGGAACAGGTGGTGTTTGGTTACTTAAATTCTTTAGTGGTGATTTCTGAGATTTTGGTGCACCCATCACCTGAGCAGTGTCCACTGTACCCAGTGTGTAGTCTTTTATTCATTGCCACCCCCAACTCTTTCCCCCAAGACCGAAAGTTCAATGTATCATTCTTATACCTTTGTGCCCTCATAGTTTAGCTCCCCCATAAGAATGTAAGATATTTGGTTTTCCATTCCTGAGTTACTTCACTTAGAATAATGGTCTCCAATTCCATCCAGGTTGCTGTGAATATCATTTAGTTCCTTTTCGTGGCTGAGTAGTATTCCATGGCATACACACACATACCATATTTGCTTTATCCACTCATTGACTGATGGGCATTTGAGCTGGGTCCATAGTTTACAAAAAAGATTTTTCTATTTTTCTATTCTTCACCATTTATTTATGTATTCAACCATGTATTTGTATCTGTATGAATACTGATTTTAAACTTTGGTTTATAATCCAATAGTCTTGATTTCTTCATTTTGTTGCTCAAATTATTTCAGCTTTGTTCATTGGGAACTCTTTCATTTGGCTCCCGGGTCCTTTCAAAATACCCCCATGACTATGGGATCTTTGAGGACTTCTTTAATCTCTGGCTGACACCACAAAATGCTTCAGGCTCCATCTTGTGTATTTCCCACCTAGTGTTAGAATCAGCCATTTCTCTAAATACCCTAATTATTTTCATCAAAGAATGGTATTAGAAGCCAAGGTCTGGGTGCCAGATATGTGTGCTCTTAAACACTCATTACTAGACCTAGACATGAAGAACTTACAAAATGATACATTTTGAGGAGATTAAAATTGGTAAAGGGAAAGTAACAGAAAACCCCCAGCTCCATTTTTATAGTTCAGTGGAAAAACTGGGTAGCTTTTCCCTTTGGGTATTTATTATAATCCAGAAAAAAATTAGGATCTTTCATTTCCACATGATAGAGTCAATTTGTTTGAGAAGGTGGCAAAGGCTAAAAGAGCTCCTTACTTTTTATGTAGTTTGAGTTTTTTTTCCTTTGAGGTTTCTAGTATTCCAGCACAATTACTGTTTTAATCTCTCAAAAACAGCATATGTATTCTCAGTGTCTCAATAGAAAATTAAAGTCTATATCTAATAATCCATGATACTGACCTGACAAAGTCATGAGTCCAAAAATCCAGCTTCAATAAGCCATATGTAGAGTGAACAGATTAAAAGATTGTCTCTGATAATTGAGCTTACACCTTAAAACATCCTCTTCCTTGTTTTCGCTCTGATGTCACAGGAAGGAGACAGGTGATGGAGGCAGGAAGCATTTGGTCATCAACGTAATGTAATCAAATACAGAGGTACCAAGCCCCACTCAGCCTGGACCACCTCCTAGGACCTCCTCCTGAACCTCCTCCTTCATGTCGGGGTCTAGCAATGAGCATTTAAAAACATATATAGCCTCCTAGGAACCAATGACATCAGTCCAAGCCATGGGGAGACTGCTTTAGGATAACCAACGATGATAAACATCTGTTCTATTCAAACTTAAATGTCAGTGCTTCCAAAAACTCTTCCCCATATCTTTGAGATCTCAACAAACTCTTGTCCAACAATGAAGGGAGGCAGCTGGAGTTCTGGGGGAGGAAAAGTATTTCATCCAAACCAGACTGATTATGTAAGGAAATACTTGGAATCTCATGCATACCGGTGATTAGGCTAACACCATTTGCCTTCATTTTCAACTGTGTACCTTCATCTTTAAGCCAACTAACTAAGCCAACTAACTAGAAGTCCACTAATGCCCATCAGCAATGAAAGGATCAGGTCTCAGGCAAACTTCTGTACAAATTTTGTCATGTCATAGTGTGATGGCACATAATATTTTACCTTAACGTATGTAGGCAGAGCTGGGAGACTATACAGCAGTACATGTGACAAGGGCAGAAGTTACCAGTCATTAGCTGGAATGGGCAAAATGTCCAGGTATAGGAAAAAAAATCAGATGGGCTGGTGTGCAGAAGTTTTGCTTAGGTTCCAGAACTAGTCCAAGAGTACTAGATGAGAGACAAAGGGCCTGAGTTTGAATCCTGATTTTGCCATTCCTTAGTTCCAACAGCACAGGCAATTATTTTATACTTTGGAGTCACTGTTTCATCCACTGGGTACTAAATGGCTGAATTTGTTGAATATCACTAATATGATTCCATAATCTAGTATACTTTATTCCCAGGCATGACTGAGAGACATAGCCTTAAAATAATCCAAATCAACAAGAGCCACAAAGAACATAACCAGAACTTTTTTAATTGTATGGTATTAAAAAAGTTCCCTCTAGCGGCTGCTGAGTTATGAAGAAGGTGCAGAGACTTGAACCCAGACCTGAAATGAGGAAGAAGTCCTCTGGGAGGGATGACAGCTGGCCTCTTTTAAGGATATGCGTAATAACAGTTATGTCTATTTGGGTGCAGTAGACACTGTGTAGGAGTCTTCACTCCTTCATTTCCTAACCCTTATCTCAATGAGCACAGTCCTGGAAGTGTCATACAGGTAGGACACGTCTGTTTATGTTAGGTAGTAATCATGGTAGGTGTGCTGCCCTCCCAAGGGAAGAGAACAACTGGGAGCCAAGAACTAAGAGCCAAGGCCCAAGAATTATTGCTGTGGAGGCTTCTGGGTAGAACAGCAAGAGGAAGCACATTCTACTGAGCCCTGCAGGGCAGAAAATAAGATCACAGATCACAAAATTCTTGTTTTTTTCCCAGCAAAGCCTTACATTTTCCCTTTAAGAGAAAGAGAGGTGCAGAGAGAAGAAACTACACCAGCCTCTGTTCTCAAAAATGATCTAAAGTTACCAGTTTTTACTAAAGAATTTCTATGTCAAGTGATTTAAAAACTTTAGAGGAGTCCTTTAAAAAAAAAAGCCCAAATGTTTAAGCGTATGAGAACAGCACTTCCTGCCAGAAGGGTTTCCTGTTTCAGGCAACCACAGCGACGTGGAGAAACATCCGCCTTGTGGCCACAGCCTATGTTCCACAGGCCACTTCTCTGTTCTACTCACCCTTCCTCCCCGACAAAGGTGACATATAGCTTATTTCTCTGCAGGTCTTTTCTGGAATAACCCATAATCTGATTAAAAGCATCTTCTAGTAAGTGATCTCTTCGGATAATTAACCTGTCCATAAAGAGACAATTTGGAAAATACAGATTATTACTATACTATTACAGATAATTTACTTATCTTTCTAGAACCTGGCACTTGCCATTTAATTTTCATTTGCCACAATTAACTAGGCAAGAGTAATGTTACCTAATATCATTGCTGTCTGCAATAAAAAGTACACATTTGTCTTTAACTCCTAATATCATTAGCAAAAGTTGTATGAGAGAATCATTGGTAAATAGAGCACCCTACCCATGACCTATGAAAACAACTGGAGATTCCTATCTAAATGGTCAAATCAGTTTATCCCCCCCCAAAAATGATCATAAAACAACACACACACATTTTGTTTAGTAAAGCAAGAACAACTATATGAGGCAATGTTTTAAGCCTCAATGCACTTAGACAAAGAATTCAATTATTAAGTGCCCAGAGAGATGACTGTGAGAAACAAGAGGGAAAAAAAATTCTCAATGTCCTCCAAAGCAAGAGTTTCCAATTGTTAATTGTTAAATTAAGTGAATCTTCCTACATTCAATTATCAGGGACAAATGAATGATGTAAGTGGCAGTTTAATCTACTTGTGATGATGACAATTAAAGTCATCCTTCCATAGATATCAATTTGCTCTTATTGTAAATGGTAATGGACAGAGAGATGATAGGGCAGCTGAATGCATGACAGTTGGTAAGTGTGAGAAAAGCAAAGCTCAGAGAAGTATGGTGTTTGGGCAGGCTGATGATTTTTTAGGGCAATGAGGGTGGAATTTAATCAAGCAAGACTTCCTGTGGGTGGGGCAGTGAACCCTGGGACTGCTGTTGGTCTGGTCTCTGGACCCTTTCTCAGTCACTCAGGGTCATGGGGGTGCTCCAGTGTAGACCCTCGCTCCTCTTTCCTCTCTCAGTGGCAGAATAATCTCCAGTGGGGACATGGGACAGGGATGAAGGCAGGGAGGAGAGAAAGAAGGGTAAGTAGGGAATGGAAACCATTCTAGGCCAAACAACATGATGATGTTTCAGTTTCCCCATTTGAAGTGGGAAGGTAGATGAAGAAAGGCAGAAACAACACTCATGACATGTGCTGTTGTGAAGTTTGTTTCACAGAACTGAACAGAGCTGGGCACTATTCAACCTACACTCAGGTCAGTTCAGGAGACAGAAACTTGCAGTGGAGGACACTGGAATAGCTTTATAGCTAATGAATATACTATGCACCAACAAAGAAGTACTTTTCAGAGGGAAAAATACCAGCCTTTTATTTTGCCTTTATTTTTACATGAAAAGTGGCAGCATCTTCACTACTTGTTTTAAAATGTTAAGCTTAATCATACTTAATTCCAGGACTATGTTTTAGATGATCTATAATTCACAAATGCCAAAATAAATATGCCGACGAAAATGAAGGCTAATCATCACAAATCACAATCAATTTCCTAGAGGCTCAACTGCATCCCATCCTTTAACCACCTATAAATTATGTGGTTTGTGTCAATTTGACTTACTTTAACTTCCCTGGGCCTTGTCCATATCCTTTAGTCTCTAACTTCCTGTAAAAATTCCTCAGTTTGGCTTCAAAATCCCGTTTGTAAGGGGCTGGGGCCCGGGCATTGGCACGCTGGGTACCTGCAGCAAACCACAAAGAGAGAACAATCTGGATTTGTGCATCATTTTTATGTTTATCACATCACCATGGACAAAAGCAATCACAATTAACAAGTCAAAGGAGGCAACAGTCTTAACTTCTGCATTTTTGATTTCTGCAAGTTGAAGGATATAACCTCAACCAGAGTCTTAAGCGACGTCTTCTTTGTAGCATTTTGGTTGAGAATTAAAATCCTGTTTGAATAGTTACAATGGTGCCCATGTGTTTCTCAAGCATGTTCCCCTTTTCAGTCCAAACTAATATGAGTCAAAAAGAGTTACTCATGTCTAGTAGTAACTGTTAGGATGAAATATCTTTGCTTGCTGCTGAAATGATATCATGGCAATTAGACAGGAAGTTGCAGTGGAAAAGTATGTGGTATATAAGTCAGTGGCACAAAAAGTGAGTTTTTAATAATTACTCTAAATTCCTCACCAAAAAACTCCTCACAAAACTTTTTTTTTTTTTTTGAGATGGATTCTCACTCTGTGGTGCAGGCTGGAGAAGAGTGGCATGATCTCAGCTCACTGCAACCTCTGCCTCCCAGGTTCAAGCGATTCTCCTGTCTCAGCCTCCCAAGTAGCTGGGATTACAGGTACTCACCACCACATCTGGCTAATTTTTGTAGTTTTAGTAGACAGAGTTTCACCATGTTGGCCAGGCTGGTCTCAAACCCCTGAACTTAGGTGATCCGCCCGCCTTAGCCTCCCAGAGTGCTGGGATTACAGGCATGAGCCACTGCTCCCGGCCTACAAAACTTATTTTAGATATGCACTATCACCAAGAATGATTTTAGATACATAATTGCATAAATATCATATTGCAGGGTAAAATAATCTTAATATAAGACATAAGTGCAAAAGGTATCTGTCTCCTGCTTGCACAAAGAATAAATAATACTAATATTTAATTGCATTCTTAACATATGCCAAGTACTGAGAATATCTAGGTTATATAAGGATATTTTATACATTATTCAATGGCAAATATCACTAATAAAATATAAAAGTAACACTGTTCCTCTTTCCATAGAAAAATCTGGCTTTGTGTCACCGGGTGACTAAGCAACAGGACGGGATATAAAATTGATGATGAATATGAAAATCAGACACAGAGCCATGACAAAAACCCAACCAATGAAAGAAACCAGAAAACAAAAACTTGGAAGTCTTGTTCATTACATACCATGTAAGTTCATTAAAAATTTATTTAACAAATAAGTGAACTAAATGGTTGTTATTCATTGCTAATACTGTGTTAAGTTCAACAACGGATGCCCAAAATGAATAAGGTGGGGTTGCTGGAGTGGGATGGAGAAGCAGAAATAAAACATCGAACAACTAGAGAATAAGTTCTGAATTAGAGGGTATACAGACTAGAAAGCGGAGGGAACAAAACGATATCCCTGGGGCTATTCCTAGTTCTATAGATCCCTGCTGTTTCCTCCATAACCTTTTTTGAAGATTTTAAATTAACTGCCAACATTTACATATTAAATTTCAAGTTTAAAAATTCCAGATTTTTCTCTTGAAAATTATTTGGGTAATCTTGCAACGACTGGCTTGCATTTCCTTGGGAATCCAGTGGGCAGCAGCAGCTACTCTGTTAGACGAGGCATGCGCTCACCACTCTGCCACAGCCACTCAATGACACTGGCTACCTGCCCCCCAACCCCCACAGGCATTTGTTAAGATCAGTGTTATACGAAAGTAATAGTAATATAATAAAAAAGACATGAGTATAAGTAGAGATCAAAGTGGAAAAGGCCTTAGGGAGGAAGCTTAGTTGGAACCACACCTTGCAAAGGAAGGAGAATTTATATTCTATTCTGGAACAGAGCAGCAAGAGCTGGCATAAACACTGCATGTGTGTTCGGAAGATGCCAAGACGACTAAGCTAGCCTAGAGTGGAGGAGGAATGCTGGGAGTAAATGGGAAATGAAATTGATCAGAAGGGTTGGAGCCAAATTATGACAAGAATTTTTAAAACCTAGCAGAGGAGTTTGGCAGGATGCAGTGAATGGTGTGAAGCCTTTATAGGTTCTTGAGCAAGGGAATAACATACAAGTGGTGTTTTATTCAAGAAATTATTTTCAGAGTGTGTTGAGTAAATTAAGGGTGGGCAAGAGGAGAGCCCCAGTTAGGAGTTGTTGCAGTAACTGAAGCCCGAGGGGACTAGACTGGAGTGAGTGACTCAGAGAAACTTTTACAATGTGAAATAAGCACTGGGAAAAGAGTAGATAAGGAAGAAGAGGGAAGCATGATGTTAATATAAAGTTTTTTTAAACAATAACAACAGATCTCATTTGTTAAGTGCCTGCTATACATTACAGACCATGCACATTACAGAGGGCATCTGGAGAAATCCTCACAAGTCTACAAAGAAGGTATTACTAGGACCATCATTACCACTTGGCAGCTAAGGAAAATGAAGGTGCAGCTTCCTGTCCAAGTCATATTCCAGTGACAGTAGATTTGGGATTGGAGCACAAATGCTATAAACAGTGTGGGAAGTGATGCAGGTGGACAGGGGCATGTGAAGCTTTATACGTGTTGACTTGGAGATGACAACTGACCAAGTGCCCTAGAGACTGGAAAATATAGGGCTGGAGGTGGGGTGAGAGATCAGGGCCATGTGTTAGTGTGTATATGGCACTTTATGCAGTGCCTGTTGCATAAGAGATCCCACAGAAGTGTCTGCTATTGTTATCTGCATAGAGGTGAATACTAAAGACAGGGAAATAAGTTGAGATTTTGGTAATGAATTTGTACAAAACTAGCTATTGACCAGTAATCTGTCTGGAGATTTCTGTAGAGTCAGGCAAAGGGCTGAGTTACGTCATAAAGCAAGCAAATAAACTTGACTTTAAAGATCTGGGAAGCAGAAAGGACTCCTAGGCAGGGGTTCTCAATCTTGACTGTACATTAGAATCACTTAGGAAGCTTTTAAAAATTCCAATGTTCAGGCCACACCCAAGATGCATTACATCAGAATGTGTCTTTAAACACCCAGGCATGAGTGTTTAATATGGCTCCAGATGATTCCAATGTGCAGCTATGGTTGAGAACCACTATTCCTTTATAGGAAGGTCAAATGTCACCAATGAAACACAAAGGCAAATGTTTCCTGTGTATCCAAAAGGCATCCTTTATAACATGAAGGAACATTATCTCCACGAACACAAGACTGCGCTCCTAAATGGATGAGAGCTAGGAGAGTGTAGTCTCAAGTCCACTCAGGGGTGGCACAATCAAGGTGTCAGTGCTCCAGTCTGAGAAACTTCAGACTAGAAAAGCCAGACAGTGAAGAACACAGCTGTAGTGAATCAACTTCCAAGAGCTCAATCATTGATAAGAAAGAGAAAAATGAAGAACGAAGAACTGAATGAAAATCTTTTAAGATGCAAAAGAAACATGGTTTTTAAAGAGCTGATTACTTTTAAAAAAAAAACAACACACACAGTAACTATGCCTATATAATTTGAGATGCTTAAAAGGATGTGGGAAATGCCATAATGCATTCCATCAACATCAATACAGACACAATAAAAATTAGCTCTGACTGTTTATCCTCTAAGTAAAGGGATTTAATTATAAAAACTCTGACACAGCAATTGTTAAATGCAAAAATTCTTTTGCTCATAGTTCCATTATGAAGAAAGTCATTTACACATTACTTCATTTTAAAATTACAGTAAATTATGCTGTTGACCTTTGTCAAATTCTTAATACAGTGAGGTATAATTGCCAAGAAATTCCAGAGCAGGAATGATGTTACTTCCACTTTGGAAATATAGAATGTTCTTGGAAGATTGAGCTAATAGAGTTGTATGGGAACTACAACTATAAGTGAAGTTCCAGATTATAATACTTTACAGACAGAGTAATTTTATGGTCTTTACAGTCTTAAAAAAGAAAATCAGAGACAAAAGATCAATGTTACATCTAGAAAGTGAACAAATGAAGGGTTGACTTCATGAATAGTCAGCATTTTGCTATTTCTTTGCAGGAAAAAATTTTGGTAATAGATATTAGGGACTTCTTGCTTTGTCATTGCTAGGCAGCCCTAAAGAACTTTTATATTTTCATATACTGTTAGAAAATTACATAATCATATATAAACTAAAGAATTCTATCTGGCAAAATATTTCAGAAGACACTAAAAGTAGCTTGGCATCCAACTCCCAGGCAGTCTCAGTCCTTTTTGATTCTGGGTGTGAATCCGGCCCAGAACCCAGATTGCTCTGATGACTAACACCAGTTCTCCGTATTGGACAGGGGCTGGAGCTTAGCTTGATCCAGCATGGCTCCATGCCTCTGTCCTGGGACAGCTCAGAAGCTCACCTCTTTCCTGATTCACTTTCAAAAAATCCCTATGACATTTAAAACAAATGCCCTGTGAGTGAATGAAAACAAAACATCAAGCACTACAATAATTTCTGGAAGGCTCCTTCTTCTGGAACATAGCTCAACACTGGAACTTAAGAAAAACACGTCCAAATTGCTGGTACAAAGCACAACCACTGAAGACCTGGCATTTTTGCTTTATTCTCTCAGTAGTAAAAGGCACTCGGGTCATTTTTTTGAGCTTGCTGATGCTCATGTACATACCATTTATTGAGAACAACTTAATGCTCTAACTTCTCAAACCTTGACAGAGGTCTTGGCAGGAAAGCAATTTATTAAAAAGAGAAAGGTGAAGGGTCTGCCAATAGCAGGCACCCTTTGACAGCTATATGGGTGAGGGCAAGGGAGACTAAGAACAAAAACAACAACAAAAAGTTAAGTCTCTATACTGTGATGGAGACAGTGTCTGGGGCTTTCTTTTGGTCTCTGGAATCACAACTTCCCCATCCCTGCCCACCCAGGGAGCATCCTTCATTTGTGCAATTTAGTTCCTAGATCATCTTTGCAGGGCTCAGTCAAGGGAAGGGATCAAATGCCTTTTCTAAAAACAGGTATAAAGCTACTTCAGGGACAGTAGGAAAGATGGGGAAAGGGAGAAGGACAGATGAGAAGGAGGGAGAGAGAGAGAGAGGAAGAAAAGGAGAGAGAGTGGGGAGAGAAGAGGAAATGTTTATAAAAAGAGTAGAAGATGACATAAACAGCTGGTAAAATGCTAAGATTTTGTGGTAGGAGAGAGAGAAAAGGAAGATCCTTAAGGGTATACAATGTGTTGGGAGAAATAATTCCCTCTCATAACCCATCCGCTCAAGACACCTTTAGTAAAGACCCATGAGCTCTTCTGTGCTGAGTGTTTGGCTTCTTTTGAGGGTGACTGCTGGTGCTGGTTTCCAGGAAGTCCAGTTCTAGTGATGTCACCAGAGCTCTGCATCATGATTCATGGGCACGATGATCCCCCCAAACCATAAAGTACCCTCAATGTGCTGTTTATAGGAAAGTAAGGAGAAATGTAATATATTTATGAAGAGTTTCAGCAAATAGTGTGTTAAACAAATTCTCATACAGTTAAAATCATAGCTTTGGTTACCTGGAAAATCCACATAAGAGAGCAGATCTCCAATAATATCAGAGAAATTAGGTGTTATTGCCTTTAACTTCCTAGAAATGTGCAGCTTAAATAAACTTCTGGGTCCCATATTTGGCAGAATAAGCCACATAGGGTTTGGGAAGATCTTTTCCTTCTGGCATCACTGAGGTTGGGATTGGCATTATAATGGTCCTAGAAAAACAAACCTTCACATTCCAGAATTTTGACAAATTTTGGTGAGCACTATAACAGCTGCAAAAAACAGTGAGTCAAAGTTTCCAAAGCCCCCCTCTCTTCTGCAGTTGAAAAGACATGTCAGTGTGCTTGGAATGAAGAAAAGTGTGGAAAGTTGCTAGGAATTCTCAATGAAGTTCATTAAAATTTATTACTGTCATAATTTTCATGGTGTTATTCTCACACCACTAAAAGGGGTGAAATTCTAGTCACCAAGGAGGATCAGACCACTTTAAAAAATCGGTTTGAAATGTTGCCTTCACAAGACCTTCAGGAACACTGGTAGAAGGGGAAGCTATTTTATTCAAAGAAACAGAAGATTCCTCCACAAGGAAATGAGGTTAGTGAGTCCAGCCCTGGTATCATATGGAATTTGTTATAGGGACTTCCATTGATATCAGGCTGTACAACCCAGTTTCAAGATCAAACAAAGCCCAATGAAACAGAGTGGGCCAAAAATATGGAGATGATTCTTCCTGAAAATTAAAACCACCACAAACACTGCTAGCAATTTAGATATATTTGGATTACACATGTCTTTGGAAAATGTTTAACTCTAAATGTAAGATTCTAGAATGGATTTTATTGTCACTAAGGATTACTCATGTGCATTTGTGATGCTAAATGAGGAAGTGAACTTAGCCACATTTAGAATGCTCATACAGTTACAGTCTTGAAGAATGTGTGGCCAGTCTTGAAGTGCAGGCCTTTAAAGAGCATGGAAGGGGCAGCATCTGGCGATCTACCTTTGCCTCGGGGAGGACAGGCCACAGTAACAATCCACACAGTGTCATTTCTTTAATGGTAAAACATAAAGGGATGGTCCACTTTAAACCCCAGCATAGATTCTTACTAAGATAAAGATCACTGCATGATTACATATCTAAGCAGACAGCTCTGCAAATCAGGGTTCATATGTTCCAATCATTAATGGCTCAAATGTGAACAAATTCTACTTCTCAGAATAGAAAGAAAGAAAGAAAGAAAGAAAGAAAGAAAGAAAGAAAGAAAGAAAGAAAGAAAGGAAGGAAGGAAAAGAGTGACCCATTAACGTTTGTTGGCTGCTTATGATGTTCCAAGCACCAAGCGAAGAGTTCTCCAAAAATAATCATGAGAGGTGAGGTGATTATTATTATGCTTATTTTATAGAAAAAGAAATTCGGGCTCAGGGAAGGAGGTATCCTAGCCTAAGTCAGACAGCTGCTAAGAGACTGAGGTCAGCTGGGAATTTCATGAAGTTTTCCCCTATATCTTTAAGCTTACCTAAAGTGGCATACACTTCCTTTCAGCCTGTGCCATCAAAATAGGTGCCCCTATTTTGTTCTGAAGTTGGCCTGTGTTTCTGCCCTCAATGTCCTGCTGCCCATGGGCCTGTACTGTGTGGGCTGCCACTTTTCTGCCTTATTCCACAAACCACTTTCCTTCCACTCATGTCCTGTGGCCTCTGCTCATGTATACTCAACTTCCCATCCTAAAATCCCTTCCCTCTCTCTTCTATCTACTGTTCTATTTGGCTTTCTTTTCACCTCCAGATTTAGTAAAAGAGCATTTGACTTCTGTTTCATATCCTGTACCATTCTGTCACTGATCATGATCCAGTTTATAACCTGTTACTTCACAGAACCTGCTTTGGCAAAGACGATTTATAATTTCATGATTTTCAAACCTAAATGAGGCCTCTTTTCAGGTCTCATCCTTCTTGATGCCCCACCTCCTTTTTGAGACAGGGTCTCACTTTGCTGCCCTGGCTGGAGTGTAGTGGCGCAATCATGGCTCACTGCAGCTTCGGCCCATGCAACCCTCCCACCTCAGTCTGCATGAGTGGCTGGGTCTCCCGAACCCTTTGGGCATGTGGCTCTATTAACCCCTCCTCTGTGAAACCTGGCTCCCCTGAAAAGACTTTCCTAACTCTATTCAAAATCTGTTGGCTCTCTTTCTTTCACTTGCTCCTCTGTCTCAGCTCATCCCTTAAATATTGAGGTTTCTCACTTCATTATCCTGTTTCGTCTTCTTTTCAATGAGTTTCTCCCCAGCTGCTCTAATCTACACTCTAGGCTTCAGTTGCCACCAGTACACTGAATTCCTTGCTGTCAACCTCTCCCATGCTCCATGGCTGTCATTTCCAGCTCTGTTTGGGAATCTCCAATTGATGGCCCAAAGATTTCTCAACAAAACTTGTCCACCACCAAACTCATTCAACTTTCCTGCTTGAGTCTAACCATTTTCCATTCTTACCCTCTGCCTGGTAGTCTAGGTAGTGAGGCCCTAACTCTTCCCTACCTCTACTCAAAGTCCTGGTGACTCTGCTTTCTATGTATCTCCTCAATTCTTTCCCTGGTCTCCATCTCCACTGCCTAGTCCAGCCTTTCATTATGTTACTCTGGCTAACGCAACAGCCTCTCTGATACTCTGTCGCCAGTCTCTCATCTTCTAATTTACTCCCAATTGCCACCAAACTGATCTTTGAAAAACATTGGTATTCCTCTGCTTATACCCTTTCAGTGGCTTTACATGGACTATAGAATAAGGCTGGCCAGTCGTAGTGGCTCACACCTGTAATTCTAGCACTTTGGGAGGCCCAGGTGAGCAGATCACTTGAAGTCAGGAGTTTGAGACCAGCCTGACAAACATGGTGAAACCCAGAGTCTACTACAAACACAAAAATTAGCTGGGTGTGGTGGCACATTCCTGTAATCCCAGCTGCTGGGGAGGCTGAGGCAGGAGAATTGCTTGAACCCAGGAAGCGGAGGTTGCAGTGAGCCTAGCTCACGCCACTGCACTCCAGCCTGGTCAAAGAAATGATACTCTGATTCATAAATAAATAAATAAATAAATAAATAAATAAGGCTTCAGTGATGAACCAGTCCTAGCCTACCTTTCCAACCTGAGCTTTGCGAACTGCCCTTCACTTGTATCTATTACTTTCCTACACTACTTTCATGCTCCTGTGGCTTAGCTTATGCTACCTGATATGGTTTTTCTGATGTTTGTTCCCACTAAATCTCATTTTTAAATATAATCCCCAGTGTCAGAGGTAGGGCCTTCTCGGGGGTGTTTGGATCATAAGGGCGGATCCCTCATGAATGGCTTAGTACCACCCCCTTGGTGAGGGGTGATCTCACAGGAGATCTGGTTGTTTAAAGGTGTGTGGTACCTCTCCCCTGCTCTCTCTGGCTCCCACTCTCACCATGTGACATGTTGGCTCTCCATCACCTGACATGAGTGGAAGCTTTGTGAGGCCCTCACAGAAGCCAAGCAAATGCTGGCACCATGCTTGTACAGCCTGTAAAACCATAAGCCAATGAAACCTCTTTTCTTTATAAATTACCCAGCCTCAGATTTTCTTTATAGCAACACAAGAATGGCCTAACACACTACCCCTTTGACTAGAACGTCCTTCTTTCTTTGGTCCACCTGGTAAACTCCTATTCATCATCCTTCAAGACTCTACTTCATAGTTCCCCAAACACCCCATCCCTAGCCCTAAAGGAATATGTGCTCCCACAACTGTGTTCCCATACATTTCTTCATTACAAGACTAACTACAGAGCTTCACAGAGTCATTTGTTGACTCACTGCCCCACCATCAATTCTTCAAAGGCAGAAACTGTATTAGTCATCTTTGCAGTCCCAGAGTCTAATTCAGTGCTTGGATCATAGTTAGAAGCTCCATAAATCTGTGTTAAATGAACAAATTAATAGATCTTTTCCTGTTTGCAGTATCCAATTAGGCTGCAGCTTCGTTATCATTGCAGTATGTGAAAACGCATGTTATATACCAAAGAACATACAGCAGCTTAGTGACACATAAGGAGTTTGCATTTCTACTGAAACAGTTTTCAATTCTGATAGCTGTTAAAGTGTGAATAATGCATTGACTATAATAAGGACCTATATACAGCTGATATTCTGTCAACATCATGACTGCCTTCATTTTCAAAGCTCATTTGCCAAGCTGCATTTTCTACCATTTGTTGATGTACCCATTCACTCTTTCATTCATGCCTATCTCTTTAAAAAGAGATCAAATGTACACATTTCAGTTTATAAACATGTTCTATCTGCCAATCCATCTCTGTTCTTTATATATAATGCAATTAATGAAAATTGCAGGGAAATATATCCAAGTCCATTAAACCAAATAATTTCAATTCTATATTATTTCTTGAGAGTAGAGAATTTAACTTCATTGTCTGTCAAATCAGTCTCATCATTAGAACTTTCCAAAGCCAAAAAGCAACCTAATATTTTGTGTCCTGCTATTGCATGATATAATATCATGGAAAGTAAATTGTATATTTGAGTATGCCTTACCACAAATCCTCCTATTCATTATCTCTTTGTCAAAATGAATCCCCATGGAAATAAGTCACTCTTAAGAGACAGGAAATGCCACACATGTATCTGTGCTAACACTAAAGATGTATCTGAAGTATTCCCTTCCTGTCCTGTCTTTAGGGAGGAGAGAACATCTGGCTTGTAGGTTCACTCCTCAGAGAATTCACTGTGAGCAGCAGGTGGACTCACCTGGCGAGTTCTGAGGAGATGACACGGGAGAGCCACGTGGGGACTGACAGTAGCTGGGGTGGAGTAAGGCATGTGGAGGCACATATGACATTATCTCTTCTTCAAATAAGCTGGGGAAGGACAAGAAACAAAATGGGTATTTCAGCCAAAGAAGTGGGGAACAGCCTAAAGCCCAAGGGGGTAGAACATTCCATCCGAGAGCTGGTTCACCTCCCAAAGACAGCACCCACCCCCTTTCTCTTGCAGGTAATTCTTGGAACAAAATGGCAGGCTCTGGTCATTTTTGTGAAACCTGTGGCTATTTGCCTGTTTTCCTACCAAGTTTGGACAACATGATTTGATTTTACTATTTCAATATATGAGTTTGAGTGTACACGTTTGAAAATCATACTTGGGTTTTTAGATTTGGAAACAGGATTCCAACACAAAATAGAAAATATTAATTGAGAACACATCATAAATACACAAAGTATGTTCTATATCCTCATTTTAAGAAATAAACAATAGGGTCTTAGACTTTGAAGAGCTTAGGATTTTATTAGATAATTAAAAGCAAAATAAAACAAAACACCTTCTAAATAATTACAGTCGCAAAATAATGAGCTCCCTTGTTTATCCTGGCTACTATTTTTCAAATGTGAGGATTTGGATCTTAGACCATTTACTTGTCTTTTTTTTTTCTATATTGAAATGTCTATTTCTGATATTCTCCTAAAAGATAGTAACCAGAGACCTGAGATCTTAGAATCCTGGACTTTTCATTAAATATTATAATAAAGAAAACTATTATTAATGGTACCAAGCTCAAATATATAAACATTTGGCTAAATAGAATTAAAACAACAGTAAAAAAAAGTTAGAGGGCTTGTGTTTTTTAATTGAGAGGTAGAAGTAGATTTCTTTTTGCTCAAATGTAGCCAAATCTAGAAAATAGTTACTTGTTTTAAAAAAAAAAAAGTTCAGTAGAAGTGGCAACAGTTTAATTTTGTAGAGATTTAAGGCAAGGACTTCTAAGTGTGATAGCACTGGTTCTAGACCGAGGTGAGTTTGCTACCGCCATTCCTTGGGGCATTTGGCAATGTCTGAGGATATTGTGTGAAGCAAAAATAGTGTTAACATTTATTAACACTTTAATATAGTCATAACTGGGGGAGGAGGTGCTATTGGCCTCTAGTGGGTGAGGTCAGGATGCTGCTAAACATCCTATAATTCACAATGTAGCTCTTCACAAAAAAATACCTAGCCAGCCCAAAATGTCCATGCTGCTGAGGCTGAGACACTGTTAAGCAGTGTGTAACAACACTTCTGCCGGACCACTGCAGCAAAAGCATTTTTATGTGATGTTTTTTTCAAGCCACCACTGTACTTTTAAACTATAAGTCAAAAGATATGGATATAGAAGCAGTAAGTAATCTTATCTGTAATACCAAATTAATCCCTGAAATAGTTAGTTTTCTTTTTAAAAAAATCAAATGGAATAATGTGAATTTAAAATTAACTGTTAAGAAAAAGTCTCATGTAACAACTGATAGCACTAGAATCTAGAAACCTACAGCTAGCAAACTGACACAAGAACAGAAAATGAAACACCGCATATTCTCACTCATAGGTGGGTGATGAAAAATGAGAACACATGGACACAGAAAGGGGAGTACTAAACACTGGGGTCTATTGGGGGGAAAAGGGGAGGGCCAGTGGGAGGGGGAGGTGGGGAGGGATAGCCTGGGGAGAAATGCCAAATGTGGGTGAAGGGGAGAAGAAAAGCAAAGCACACTGCCATGTGTGTACCTACGCAACTGTCTCGCATGCTCTGCTCATGTACCCCAAAACCTATAATCAAATAAAAAATTAAAAAAAAAAAAAAGAGTAGGAATCAGCACTCTTCCCACAGACATCTATACCTATAGTTCCTGTGATGGCCTATATTCTTTCCCTTAAATATAACTAATACTCAGAAATCTTTCATATCAAAAGAAAAAGAGTTTACTTGAAAAGTTTAATACCTAAAAGATAAAAATATAAAAATGCTCAATATACATCATGCAGTGTTAGTAAATGTTAACACTATTTTTGCTTCACACACACACACTGAAAAGTCTATATGTATCTATATAGAGATGTATAGATATCTGTAGTGTGTGTGTGCATGTGTGTATATAAAGTTCCTTTTGTTCTCCTCTATCATGATTGTATAGGTATCCTTCCTTCCATAGTTCTATATTTGGCAACATTTATACAGAAAGGTAAATAATATATTGTTTTACTTTATGCATTGTTTAAAAATTACATACATGCTATGTAAATTATAGTATTCTCGAGATTTTTAAATTCAACAATATATTTCTGGTATCTATGTGGATACATAAGGATCTAGTTTATTCCTTTTACCTGCTATGGTAGGCCATTCTACAAACATATCAGTCAATTTATTCATACCTCTTTGGATGAGCATATACTTTATTTCAAATTGTGTGCTTTTATCAATAATAGTGCAATGAACATCCTATATATAATACCTTGAATATGTGTAAAAGACTTTCTTAGTGCAAACATGGCATATACCTAAAAGCAGAGTTACTCTATCATAATGCATATGCCTTTTCAGCTGTATAAGATAGTGTCAATTCATATTCCAACAAGGTGTAGAAACTGCAATGCCACTAAGCCCAGATAATACAAAAGTTCTTATGTATCATTAGGTATTTCAGACTTTTTGACTTTTACAAATCTAATAGTGTAAAATGGTATCTCATTATTTAAAACTGGATTTATAATTACTAGCATTTTTCCATGGGTTTATTGGCTATTCATACTTCCATTTCTGTGAAATGCCTTTTCATATCCTTTATCCATTTTTCTATTGGGTTCTTTTCTTTTAAATTAAAGGCCTTTATGTATCCATGAATTTTTTTTTTTTTTACAGACTCTTGCTCTGTCACGAGACTGGAGTACAGTGGCATAATATTCGCTCACTGAAACCTCTGCCTCCCAGGTTCAAGTGATTCCCCTGCCTCGGCCTCCCAAGTAGCTGGGACTACAGGTGCACACCACCACACCCAGCTAATTTCTTTATTTTATTTGTTTTTTAGTGGAGATGGGGTTTCACCATGTTGGGCAGGATGGTCTTGATCTGCTGACCTTGTGATCGGCCTGCCTCAGCCTTCCAAAGTGCTGGCATTACAGGTGAGAGCCACTGCACCCAGCCAATTTGTTTGTTTTATGTCTTGTAAATCTATTCTTCCAGTTGGCTATCTTTCTCTATGCATTTATATGTGATATATTTCATTACATGAATTTAAAAATATTTATGTAACCAAATTTATCAGTCATTTCCTATATGGGCTCTGATAGAGGTACTTTCTTTTTTTTTACATGAATTGAGTTAGTGAAAAAATTCATGAAATAGAAAAACCAATAACAAACTCAATAAGGTCATTTAAAAATTAATGGGGTTCAGGCCGGGCGTGGTGGCTCAAGACTGTAATCCCAGCACTTTGGGAGGCTGAGGTGGGTGGATCACAAGGTCAAGAGATCGGGACCATCCTGGTCAACATGGTGAAACCCCGTCTCTACTAAAAATACAACAAATTAGCTGGGCATGGTGGCGTGTGCCTGTAATCCCAGCTACTCAGGAGGCTGTGGCAGGACAATTGCCTGAACCCAGGAGGCGGAGGTTGCGGTGAGCCGAGATCATGCCATTGCACTCCAGCCTGGGTAACAAAAGCGAAACTCTGTCTCAAAAAAAAACAAAACAAAACAAAAATTAATGAGGTTCAAAATAGCCCTATTGGAAAATTACATAGATTTATTTTGAATTGAATAATGTCCTAGAATGATATTATCTTTACATTGCAGCTTACTGAATTAAGTCAATATGTATCAGGAGTGATTTTCCTTTTTAAGAAATTAGACAACACATAAAAATAGACACAAAGTCTTCCATGCCTTCCATGTGACAAGTATGCTGACTGAAGTTTGCAGTCACTAATTCAAATCATTCCAATTCCAAAGTAAAATAAAACATAAAGAACCGAGGACATGAATAAAACCCCAAATTTTTCAATAATCATGAATTATTACTTATTAAGCATGAACATATAATACATTGTGTTGTTTACTATTATTAAAATAATAAACACATTTGATCACCCACATGAAAAGTCTAGAATTTAATTACATCATTTATATGCAATAATTATAGAACTATTATATGTAAGTAAATTTCTCACACTTCTCCAAAAGCCCATTAGCTTTGGAGAACCTGCTTATTTTCCCAAAGAGGGGAAAATGCAGCTTGCTCTTTAGGTATGAACGAATTTTGAATTGTTCGAATTCAAATACTTTTGAATTCTACTACATAACATATAGAAACTCATGCAAACTGTTGTGCAATCAAAGTAAAACATTATAAGCTATAGTATAATAAATTTAAGACTATACCATCTAAAGATTATTTAACTATGGACATCTGAATGATAATTATGACGTCTGTTTTTACTAATTCCAACAGCAGAATTCTTAGTTTAAAAGAAAAACATCTTAGCTTTCTAGAATGAAGAAAAAGAGCATATTCTGGCCAGAATTCTGTTAACAGAAACTTATAACTATTTTATCACCAACCAAACCATGACAGAAACATCATGCTAATATTAATTGGCCAGTAGTCTTCCTGACCTCCTGGCATACTATATGCTGCTTTCAGAACTGGCTCAATACCAAATGCCACCCACAGGTTGAGACGTGTCCCCCACCATAGGTCCTATTCAGAGTCAACTGAAGCCAAGTATCTATAGAAAGTAAGTCCATCCCTTTGAATTATGCTTCGACTACACATAAAGAAAAATAACTTTCTGACAACAATCATGTGGGCAGTCAGAAATATGGTAACAGATATGACAACTATGGAGTGAGAATTAGACATGGTCAGGGTCAAGATCATCATGATTACTTGAATGAGGTTATTAACACTCAGGGATAAACAAAATCTTGCCTGAAAGGTTCAGTATGAGGTTCCCTTTAATTCTGTGGAGGTTACAGGGGTGGGTGTCACAACCACTGGATAGAGCAAAGCGCTATTTTACTTTGGCTTGCCTACATTTGAGTGACAATACAAAAAATGAGAGTCTTTTGAAAACTTTCCAGTTTTCTTTCTAAACTACTCTAAAATTTAAAACCAAAGCTGATTTAACCATTAGAGGGGGAAGAAAAAAACAACTGGTCAGTTTTATGAAGGGCTATCAAGTTGGCAGTGAGTAGCAGGGACTAAATGTCAACTTTCTTTTTTTTTTTTGATCTGATTTCCCAAATGCACACTCTTAAAACCACAAGCTAAATAAATAATTTCTTGAGTCAGCAAAAGGGGACAAAACACATTTTGAGAAAAACATTTAAAGAATATATAAACTGAAGGAGCAAACTCTTCTACACTGAGGAGGTAAGTGTGGATACCTTATTCAGATACCCTTCTTTTCCATTCTGTGAGTGGGAGATTTTATTCATTACAACCTTTCCCTTTTCCAATACAACCTCCTTTGATAGCAGGGTAAAAACAAAATTAAACAGATCTCAGTGCAACAAATGCAACCTGAAGTGAATGATCACTCAATCAGTGCCCTAAATCTTCAGCATATTTCCACAAGTCTAAAGAATAAGAATAACTTTAAGGCTATTAATATTGGCATATTATTTTCTACAGTGCTCCATGATATCTGATGACAGGAGACCTTCTGCCTCAAGAATGAGTGTTACATAGGTACCTCAGCAACATAACCAGGTCTGCATCGCTTGAAAGGCGCACCAATCCTGGAGTCCCTTCAGTTCGGATAAATTGGATCTTCTCCCTATTCAAGAAAAGAAAAAGCACAAAATGTATATGATAAACCTTCGGGCTATAACTCAGTAGCAAAGAGCATTTTCTGTAACAGTTATAACATCTCTAGGAATACATATCCAAGAGAGGCATGGTCTTTGCCTTCAAGGGAAGGTCCTGTGATGAGCATCAACACCTCCCAGTTCTAACGTTGTGGGAGAAAGACTGTTTTATTGCTTTCATCGTTTTGCTGCCCAAATACTACTATAAATAGTATACCATTCAACCAATAAAATCAGTGTCTGCTTTGAGTTAAAGCTGACTGTGGACCTAAATCTTAGTGATAGTCTTAGGCTGATCCCCAGCTGTGCCAAAAAGGGATTGTGTTGGGAGAGTCATCTATTTTCCCGAGGCCATATCTTTAAGTTACATGTGATGAACTCATTCCTAATTGGAAGCAGATAGTATCTCTGCATCATATATTCAGTGTAAAAGCATATGGCTTTTTTAAATAAGGAAAAGACTGAAATACTTTGCTACTACACTTGGTGAAATAGATTGTGTACATACTTGTGCAAATGTATATATACCTATATACATCAAACACAACAAGCTGAGTTATTTCTACCATCATTTTATTATAGATAAATGGGATAACACCAGTTTTTCTTCTTTTTGTTTGATGAGGAGGTAAACTATTTTCAATTTGTTATATAATACAATTTTAATAAATTTCTTCCTAGTTGCTTTCTTCCCTCATTTACATCATGCTATTTCAAAGCACATCATATTAACTTTCATAAGATGAAGAAAAAAAGAACATAAACTATGGTACTAAAGTCATTATATTTCATTGAAATAGAGAGGATGACACAAATAAACAATTCTATTCCATAGACAATATATTCTGATTTCTGTACCACAAAGTAAAATATTAATCACTGATATAAGTATTTATTTAGATTTAGTTCTTATCTACAAAGCAACTTGTTTTTCTATTTGATATTTTCACAAAGTTCCACTGATGTTTTTGTTTGTTTGTTTTGAGACAGGGCCTCACTCTGTCACCCAGACTGGAGTGCAACGTGGCTCACCACAACCTCTGCCTCCCAGGTTCAAACAATTCTCCTGCCTCAGACATTCAAGTAGCTAGGATTATAGGCATGTACCACCATGCCTAGCTAATTTTTGTACTTTAGTGGAGCTGTGGTTTTGCCATTTTCACCATGTTGGTCTCAAGATCCTGGCTTCATGTGATCTGCCTGCCTTGGCCCCTCAAAGTGCTGGGATTACAGGCGTGAGCCACCATGCCTGGCCAAGTTCCACTGATTTTTATATTTCCAAATTTCAAATACTTTTCTTAAGACTGCTTGCTGATTTGAAGGCACTGAGGTGGAAGGCAAGGTGCCATGTTCACATGAAAAATTCCCTAATGCATAGAAAAGTCAATGGATTTGCCCTTAGCCACACAGCTTACGAGGTATGATAAACAGAGTTCAGTCCTCGGTTTCTTCTGGCTAGATCCATTTTATATGATACATGGAGCAGCTAATCTTTAGTATTTGCCAAATTTTCCTTTCTATAATTTATTGCCAGCAGCTAACTACTATTTTTTAAAAAGACTATTAGAAGTTAGTGGCAGGCATGTACGTAAAGGAATCTGCTTAAGGTTACTTCTGTGAAGCCTTGAACCAGGCAGAACGTTTTCCCTCAAGTGTTGGAATCATACATCTGAAACATGTGATGGAAACCCAGGCCCATTATCTGGTGAATGGTTTTTCTGATAAGAGATGTAAATGTTGGCTTATACAAGCTAAATCAGAGAAAAGTTATTTTGAAAAAAAATGAATAATAACCAAAGAACTACTCTTATAAGGGTCAGTAACACTATGCTTTGATCTTGAAGAATCAAAAGCTATCTCCCGCAAATATGCAACTTATCTCTTCTATCAACACAGTGAATCCAGGCAAATAGAACAAGACAAAAAACAAACAGACTGAGCACTCTCCCCTCCTTCCTTAACTGGAGCTAACACAGAAGGAGTTGAGTGATGGTAGATATCAGGCCCTGGGCTGCGGCTTGTAAGTTTCCTGTGAATAAGAAAAACATCATCACTTCTTGAGTCACAAGGATGATAGGGTGAGAAATAGAAAGGATAAAGGCACCAGAGGAAGTATGCCAACTGGGAAACTTTTCATCACTTTCCAGATGTAAACTACCAGGCTGTGAAGGCAACTAGTCTGATTTTTTCAGGTGAGAACACATGAGAGGCAGTCTGAGACCAGTTTTCTACCGGGCCAACTAATTTATCACAGTGACAAGCTATGGGTCATATGCTTCCAGGAACCAGACACTGGAACATGCCGTCTGATGTAAAGTACTTTCTTATGTTGACACTGATTCATTCTTTCAGCGAACATTTTCTGCATGCCTAATTTTTCTGTTCACTTAATTGCACGGTGGTTAGGCTTTATACCTGCTCCTGGTCTAAACAGTTCTTTATAAAGTCCTTTCATGTAGAAACAAAGGAAGCATTAGTTTACTGCCTGCAAGGAGAGCAGATCAAGGCTGAGGAAGAGACAGAAGTTAGCAGATGTCCCCAGAAATGTCACCAATCTTTTCTGAGAAAAACAAAGGAACTGCTTCTTGGTTATCAAGTATTTGCCCAGTATGCTACAGATAAGTGTTTCTCAAACTGGCATCCTTGGTCTACTAGAAATTTGCATACATAAGCTCAAGCTCTGCAAGAATTTTTAAATTTTATGTCTTCACTTTGATGATCAAAACACATGAAACAATATAATATTTTAGATGAGATGGATGACATTTATGACTGAATCTTGTCATGTGACTTTGGGTCCCATGTTTATATTTATAGGGCACTTGGTGCAAAGTGATCATAGATGAGCTTTTAAAGGATGATGAATAGACCTGGCTGCCCTTAGGCTGGCAGGGCCTTGATGTTCAATATGATAATAAAACCAGTCCCTGTCTGCCACTCATGCACACTTCGCTTACTAACTAAAAAACCTTTTCTCTTACAGTATTAACTTGCTTCATGAAAATGATCAAGTGGGGTTAAGCAAATTGCCATAGGCTAAAGAGAAAGCAAAAGAGATGGATTTAAAAAGAAAATTATGCCTTTATGCTAAATAATGCATCAAAGATATCCTGGTTTATTCTAAGAACAAAAGCCTTGCAATAGTTTGCAAACAGAAAAGTGGTAGTAGAATCCACTCATCCCAGGGCACATTCAACAATATGTTTTTTCCTTCGGTATTGTTTTTGGGGTTGCACTGTTAAATGAATTGGCTTATCAAAACAATGAATTGGTAAATAAAAATAAGCTTTTTGTTAAGAAGGGAAAATGATGACTGTGACAATTCCAAGGAGGCACATGCTAGACCAGAGATGCAAAATTAAAAGAATCAAGTCAAACACAAGCACAGAAAAGCACAAATATATCTTTCCACTGATAACAGTCTCAACATTGGTGATTTAGCTTCTGAAAAACAAAATATTCTCACATTAAGAGCATTAATTTAAATGTCATTGATTTTTTGTAGTTTTTAACTTAATTTTTTGTCTTTTGGTTTTATAGTTTATAAAAGCTGTAAGCATAAGAGGTTTATACATATTTTATATTTGTACACACTTAAGTTGAAAATAAAAGTGGTCAACATGAACATTATAGGTCTGTGATACTTCTTTCTCCTTTTAGAGTGGAAAGTAACAGATGTAACTCTTACAAACCTTAATGAGTCCACCCAGTGTTTGGAGTAACATAACGAGTTTGAGAAATGTTGTTAAAGACAACTGATCATGATTAGAGGAATGTTTGAAAATTACTTTAATACATTTATTCAAGTTTATTAACTTATAGAATTAGAAGGAATCTGTGGTAGTCCTCTCTGTTGTCCAGGCTAGAGTGCAGTGGTACAATCATGGCTCACTATAGCTTCAAATTCCTGAGCTCAGTGATCCCTTTGCCTCAGTCTTCTGAGTAGGTGGGACTCATGTACCACCACATCTGGCTTATTTTTAAACATTTTTGTAGAGACAGGGTCTTGCTATGTTTTCCAGGCTGGTGTCAAATTCCTGGCCTCAAGTGATCCTCCTGCCTCAGCCTCCCAACGTGCTGGAATTACAGGACTGAGCTACTGCATCAGCCTGCCTTCTTCTTAATAAAAAAACTCAATTCAACCTTAGTGGTTTATTATGATTAAGATTAAGGTTATACTAATACAACATAATATCATTTGGACCTCTCTGAATGGGTACGTTTATCTCTGTGTGCCCCTTAGAGTACATTCCAGCACTTTTATGGGTGCACCTTCTCATTTGGCTAGTAAGGTACAACTTAAATTCCTTTTGAAATACAAGTTTCTTGAGGGCAAAAGCCCTTTCTCCTTTTTTTTTTCTTGAGACAGAGTCTTACTCCGTCACCAGGCGCCAGGCTGGAGTGCAGTGGCGCAACCTCGGCTCAGTGCAACCTCCGCCTCCCGGGTTCAAGCAATTCTCCTGCCTCAGCCTCCCGAGTAGCTGGGACTACAGGTGCGCACCACCATGCCCACCTAATTTTTTTGTATTTTTAGTAGAGACAGGGTTTCATCCTTTGTTGACCAAGATGGTCTCGATCTCTTGACCTTGTGATCTGCCCACCTCAGCTTCTCAAAGTGCTGGGATTACAGGCCTGAGCCACCGTGCCTGGCCTCTATTTTTTTTTTTTTTTTTTTGAGATGGAGTCTCACTCTGTTACCCAGGCTCGAGTGCAGGGACCCAATCTCAACTCGATGAAACCTCTGTCTCCTGGGTTCAAATGATTCTCCTGCTTCAGCCTCCAGTATAGTTAGGATTACAGGCATACGCCACCACATCTGGCTAATTTTGATATTTTTAGTGGAAACGGGGTTTCACATGTTGGCCAGGTGAACTCCTGGTCTCAAGTGATTAGCCCACCTCAGCCTCCCATAGTGGCTGGGATTACAGGTGTGAGCTATGGTGCCCGGCCCTTCCTCCTTTATCTTTGTGTTCCCCAGGTACCAAATACTATTCTGTCTACCTGATGAGTGCTTTGTAAAACACAAACCAGTGACATGTAAAACACAAAACAGGCCAAAATAACAGATGTGGCTCCTAACAATTTCCCCTAAGAATATACCTGGTGTTTGGAATAAACAATCTTGCTTTTTTTTTGCTATGGCAGAGAAATAAAGAATTGGAAAGCTCATGTCCAACTATTTTCTAAAACAGAATCCACTGGAGAGAAATGTAAAGGCAGGTAAAAAGACAATCTCTTATGAAA